ACCAACTATTTTACTTTCAGAATTCATTTCTGAATCTCCGGAACCATGAAATTTACCTACAATAAACCAGTAGCGTGGGATTTTTCGAAATTAATTTATTCCCGAGGTACCGAAAAAACACTTCATTACAATAACAACTCCATATACAATAACAATGTTCTACTAGGAATCATAAGAAAACACGTTTTTTTAATGCTGGTATAACGATCTTTAAATGAAGTTGTTTTCCTGAAAACTTCCTTGGAATGAAGTCGCAACAAAACCCGATTTATCAACTAATCTCCTAGCTGATTTAATAAAGTTTGAATCGTAGCCTTATTCTGATTCTGACCGAACCGGGATTCTTTAATTCGACATGGCTTTAATGGTTCCTAATCAGAAGACTAATGCTTCGAGATATGCCCTGCGTGTTTCAAATGAATATTCATTTCGAAATGAACGATGTCGCGTCAAAATTTGTGATAGAATGCATTAGAAGAAACCACGCTGCCGTCGAATGATAAATTCTTGGCGGTGATGGTCTCGAAACAAATTGAAAGTGCCTGTAATGGATTGTGGTTGCTTTCGGTACGACTCTGGTCAGAGAATGACGGGTGATTTGCATGAACAAAGACTTACAGTTGAGAAAAGAGGGATATTTTGTAGTCGTTGATTACGGCGCAAAGCAATAGTTCTTATCATAATTCGTCGCATTAACTGGCAGTAAAAGCTCGCTTCTACCCTATGTAATCACGTTCTTGTTATTTATTGGATATTGTCTAGTAAGCACTATACAAATGGATCTAAAACTCTTCTGTAAAATACGCTCACTTCGACAATGTTGTCGTGATTGCGCGAATTCATGCCGTCATGATATCCGCTAATGAGCTCAGAAATTTGGGCCCATTGTTCTGCCTACAGAATCGGACTTAGGTCACTGGATAGGCTATTTATCACAGGGTCCGCATGGCTGTCGTTCTGGGTTAGGCTGTAATATGATATATGATTGCTGGGACTGGATGTAGGCTCGGCTCTTGTTAAAGGAGTGGTTGGCATTTGAAAAATAAGACGTTTGAAAAGTACGTCCCTGTATAATCGCAAAATTGAAGCTTTTCAGGGATGAAACTCGATCGAAAAGTAGCATCGGAATGTGAAACAAAATAAAGACGGAGAAACATGGCTACGACGGTAAGGGTCCGGAGTACGAACCTCGACATGCCAACATGACAACCTACCAGAGGTAGAGCTGACCAACGAAGCTCTGCTACAGAAACACTGCAAAATAGGGGAAAAGTAAACTGGACGAAGCTTTTGCAATTCTTATTAAATTGTGACTTAATATACAGTCCGCAGTTACAAAGCCCGGTTTAAAAATATTGTCTTCTTCCTCCTCTTTCGACTTAATCTAATAAAGTCGCTTCTTCAGTCTTCTATGTATCGCACAGTAGGCGCCTGAGTTCGATTCCTGTATGTACGTAGTGTAGAAAAAGCCATTTGTCATTTGGGAATGAAAACCGCGCGTATAAATCTGTCCCATAACTTACAGAACGCCAAAACAACACGACACATACAAAAATCTGCCTAAGTTATTGCTTATTATAAAGCCACACGGCACACTTGAAATTGCCGTTGTTGGCGAGCAGACGGTCCAACATCGCTCAAAGGCGCCGCTCTCTTCGTTAATCGCTCTTGCATATATATCGGAGTGACAATCTACGTTTCTGAATAACAGAGGAGAAATGTCAACTTTTTTGCATTCCATTGGGCCAATTAAACAGGCGATTATTCCTCGTGACGGCTATAAGATCGAACCCTTCGTGCGACTCTATCCGATTCGACCCGCCACATTTTTGATCCACGGACCCACTAACTAAAATATTTACAATAAGAAAAAAACACAACATGTTGTTCTTTTTTTTAGGCCATTAGTGACGTTATCTTATTTCACAAAAGTGGCTATGAATAGTTGCCATTTTAAACATCACGGAGTGTGAACTTTGAGCATTTTTCATTAAAGCACTATTCACAGAATAATTTAAATTTTGAAATATTTTTTATGCTAAACCCTAGACCCATAAAAAAGTACTAAATCCGTGTTTTTATTGTCAATTTTCAATGACCTTTTTGTATACTTTTGCAGTAATAATAATACGAGTATCCTACTCCTGCTGGTGAGAGAAACACTCGATAACCATTCGATACTATGAACCTATCGGTGCTGTTTTATGTTTCTATTAAGAGGTTTTCTAGCTGGACTATCCTTGAAATAAAAAAAAAACATTTTTATTTCAAAATCTTAAAACGGCACTTGAAATTTTTGTCCTGTCACTAAAATATCATTTCTATGTTCTAGCGTACACATTTTTTTTAACAAAAATTGTGTTCTTCTGGCTGATTAAAATTAGATAATTCAACATAACTTTTCCAAAATTTGTATTTAGACTTTTGAAACTCTAATGTAATATCTCAAAAAACTGATCCTAGTAGATACATCATTTAACCCATTTTACCAATTTATGAAAAATATGCACTTGGCACATTTTTTGTTCATTTTTGAAACGTCTATCTCTAAAAATTTATACGCTACGCCACTGGTGCATTTCATATGAAAGTTTGTGTTATGTTTTTTTAATTAAAAAAATAGGCGGTTTAAAGTAAAAAACAAAAATTTTTGCACTCTCAGGATTTTTGTGTTCACGTTATTGAACTTCTACCGTACTACTACATAGTTTAAATTAATCACTTTCTATAAGGCATAGCAAAATGTCATTTCATCAAAAACTTTCTTTATTGTTAACGCAAAAATTTTTAAAAAACATTTGTAGCTAATTAAACACAAATTGAAACAAAATCAAAAAGCTTCCAAGTAGCAAATTCTCAGTCACAAAACTAATCGGTTTAAGTTTATGATTCTATCAAAAAGTTGGTTGTAAGTAACGAATGTGGCGGAATACTTTATCTGCGTTGTTGTGACACTTTATTGCATGTTGTTGAAAACATCGTTTTTTCGATTGTATAAATGTGTACTATCGCTTTGACAAAGCTGCATTTTGCACACAGCGCTGCAGCATGAGCCTGAGAACTAAATAGATTCCAAACCGATATCTGTATCAGAAGATATAGCAGAACAACGAAAGCGCATTAGTTCGCATTCCCTTCTGACAAGCTCGAACACAAATGACTTTTCACGCAGCGATCGCTCTTGTTACATTGTCCACGTATAATTATTGCAATTAACTTTTTGCAAATATGCATATTTTTCAATGCATTACGGTAATTGTAAGCATTATGCGAATAAAATCTCGAACTAATGGCCCTCGTATTCGAATACGACCCCCTGCAAACCTCCACCGACACTGATGGAAATTTATCACCGCTATTTTCAGAACAGCCAAGCAAATTTACATATAATAAATCGGTGTCGAGTTTACTTCACGATTCTCCTAATCAAACCACAACGGAACGGGTGGGCGCACATGCCCTACAACCGATCTTATGCGAATTTTTGAGATTCTATTGGCCTAGATGGAGGGAATAAATTGCGGAAACGGCTACGGCTTGCGAAGACGATTATCTTAATTAACTTTTAACTAGGCGACGTTATTAATGCGCATGTTGAAATCGCTCGTCAAAATTGACAACCAGTTTCTGCAATAGGAATCGCCTAATTAATCGACGCGATCGCGTGTACAGCTCATCCGATACCGATGAAAAGATTCGCGATCACATTATACCTACAGCAAAAATCGATTTATTCTTTCAAGACTTTATTTGATGGCTTTTACAACACATAAATTTATATCTTACATTCAATAAAGGCCATCGTTGGCCCAAATTACACCATGTGGCCACATATTTAACACCAGTTTTCGCAGGCAACCATAAAACAAGCAAACATTCTGTCACAAAATTAATTAAAAGTTTTATAAGAATAGAAAGTATAGAAAAATCTCCAATAATGAGATGATTTTTTGTTTCAGAGTAAATACGGAACTTCTGATTTATCCAGCATAGATGTTCCAGAATTTGTAAAAAAGTCCTAAATTTAAAAATATAAAACAAAAAAATTACCTTAGTTTTGACAATGTTTTGCATTCTTTTAGAAACACTTAACTTTTATTAATTATTTTCAACTTTGACAACTTTTTAAACAATTTTTAGTAAAAGTAGAACCTAATGCACATGAAATTATGAAAAAAATATGGGTCCCAATTTAAAATAAAACAGTTGAATGAATATAGCCCAAAATATTCTATGACAATTAGGAAAAATGTAAAATCGTCAGCTTATACTGAATTAAAAACCATTTAATTCTTTTTTTTTATTTTTGAAATTCGGACACAAATAAAAGTTTTACATGGCCTGCCGTTTTTTTTTAAATCATTCTGTATTAAAAATATAATAATCGATAAAAAATGTTTTGCTTCTTTTGAGAAGTTTGGTATAAAAATTTTGTTTTGTTTTTTTTTTATTTAGGCGTTATACCTTCTTATTTTCGTTGAAAATTTGTTACTCTTGATGATGTTTAATTTGCAGTTATTCAATTTTATTGCAGGCATTGTACCAGAAATGTTTCAACGTGTTTTTTCAAATTTAAAAGGTGATAAGAGTGGTTACAATTATACAGAATTCAATGTCTTTATTTACTTTTCTAATTACATATAAAATTATCAAATGTATAGCTTTTTAAATCCCAATAAATACAAAATATTAAGGGGCCATGAAAAGCTTGTCAGACGTCTCGCATATCCATTTCAGCATCGTCTATTTACAGGAATAGCAACCCAAATAAGTACAAGTTAATTTTCTGTTGAAAAAAATCATTGAAATATATTAAAGCGAGCTAAAACGCCAATTATTGTCCATACATATGATTACGATTGTGTCGGTGGTCGACGCCGTTTAATGCGAGAATTAATACTTCAGAAACAGGTATTATAAATAATCGTACTTGAATATTTTATAGTTCAGGTCCCGGTTAGCACATACATATAAAAATAAATCGTCTTAACGAGTCTCACCTTGGTCCTGTTGGTTTTCGGCGATCCGCTGGCAACGATTGCGTAAACTTCGACTTCGTATGTATCGACCCCTTGTTCTCTGTCTAATTGAGTGGCCGTTGATAAGACTCCCAACTTAGTGTCGATGTCAAACAATCTGTCAACTTGAGCACCATCACCAGTCACGTTCGTCACGTAATATTCCACTTCACCGGAGTCAAAGCTCGCAGACACCGTTAAGATGCTCGTACCCGGAGGTTCGTTTTCGAAAACGCTTCCGGTGAAGAGGTGGCTTTCGAAATCGGGACCTTTGGCCGAAACATCGGTCGTGATTATCGTCAAATATGCTTCGCTGGATTTTCGCTCGTTTTGGACCGCTTCATCGGTGGCTTTCACCGAAAGGCGATAGGTTGGCTCCGGGTTTTCGATCGGTTTGACCAAACGCAAAGCTCCCGTACTTTGGTCTAACCGAAATAAATTCTGAGAGCCGCTCGCTAATTCGTAAGTGACGAGGCCGTTGGTTGCAGAATCGAGGTCTCGAGCGAAGACGTTCATAATCAAAGCGCCTTCTTTTGGAAAATGTGTGTTTTGGGGAAGTACAGCTGAATTCATTGAAACGAAAACTGGGGCATTGTCGTTGACGTCTTCAACGATGACTGTCACGAGTTTGTTGGCGGAAAGGCGGGATGAGACAGGCTGGGCTTCGTCAGTTGCGACAACTGTTAACCGGAAAGTATCGATGGTTTCTCTGTCGATTGGTAAAAGAGTATGAATGACCCCTGTGACCGGATTAATCCCAAAGTGTCTATTGCTGTCATCCGGTTCTTGCTGCGATATAGCGTAAGTGACTTTGCCGTTGATGCCGTAGTCGGGGTCATCAGCCGTAACCGTGACTATGGGGGTGTGTACAGAGATGCCTTCACGGATCTGCCGGACTATCGCAGTACTAGGAAACGAAGGAGGATTATCGTTTGCATCTTCGACAGCAATAGCAAACAGAATAGTCGTTGATAATCTCGGATTGCCATTATCTGACGCTGTTATATTCAACTGATAAGCACTCAACTCCTCGTAATCTAACGGTTTGTGCAAATACAACGTCCCAGAAGACGGATCGACATGAAATGTGTCTTTCCGATTACCCGCACTTATCGAAAACACCACTTCACTGTTCATCCCCAAGTCAGCATCGGTAGCCCGAAACTGGATTAGTTCGGTGTTAATCGGCGTTGTTTCAATCACACTTATTTTAGAATTGGTTTGGGTGAATTCCGGAGAATTGTCATTCTCATCCATGACTTCAACACTGACGGTGGTAGTCGAACTCAGCTCTTTCATTTGGCCTGCGTCACGAGCCACCACTGTTAAGAGATAATTAGACATGGTTTCGCGATCCAAAATTTTCGATAAGATTATTTGTCCAGTGGCTTCTTCAATTGTAAAACGACCGTCTTCGTTGCCTTTAACGATCGAGTAAAAAACATCCCCGTTGAGACCTTCGTCGGCATCCGAGGTAAACAGTCTAATGACCTGAGTTCCTACAGGCGAACCTTCAGAGACTTGAACTCGGTAAGGTGTACGTAAGAATTTCGGCGGATTGTCGTTAACATCAGTCACGTAAACATTAACTTTGACTTTGTCACGTAGACGAGGAGTTCCATTGTCCGTAACGGTGGCTTCCAGTGTTAAATAATTTAGTCCGGTGGTTTGAACCAGTTCTTCACGATCAAACACATGCAAAGTTTTTATAAATCCATTTTTCGGATCAATAACGAAATCGTTCTGTGAGTTGGACAATGAGAAAATCAACTCAGCGTTGCGTCCGATATCGCGGTCTGTCGCTGTTAATTTCCCGACGAACGAGTCGGGAGGTTCATTTTCTCTTATATTGAAACTAAAACTCGCATTTGTAAATTCCGGACTATTGTCATTTTCATCGATAACGTGGATGACCACCGGAACAACCGAAGACCGCGACGGACTCCCCAAGTCACTCGCCGTCACCGAAAGTGAATAATAATCCTTATCTTCACGATCGAGGGATTGGCGTACGTACAGATACCCATCTGGGAAAATTCCGAATTTTCCTTCAGTATTCCCTTCAGAAATCACATACGAAATTCTTCCGTTGAAACCTAAATCCGTGTCGGTTGCAGCTAATGCGAAAAACCTTTCATTCACCGGAGTCGACTCTAAAAGCGATGTTTCGTAGGAAGTGTGATCAAACACCGGCGTGTGATCATTAACATCTTCAATCACGACTTGGACCAATTGTTTTGATGAAAGAGGCGGTTCGCCTCCGTCACTCGCCGTCACTTCAACGTGGAGACTGAATCCGGGTTCGACCCTTATCGGCCGATTCAAATAAATCACTCCGGTAGCCTCGGAAATCCTGAACTGATCGTCCGGATTGTAATTCAGGTTATATGTCACTCTACTGTTTATGCCCGCATCGAGATCTCTAGCACGCGCGAGATACACTTCTTGGCCGACAGCAGCGTTTTCAGCGAGCTTCACTTCGTCCTTATCGCGGTCGAAGACGGGTTTATTGTCATTCAAGTCTAAAACCACGATGTTGACAAGAGTCTTGCCATAAGCGAGACCTACACGCGCAGTAATTGTCAAACTATACAAGAGTGTTTGTTCCCGATCGATTTTTTTCGCAGTTGTTATCTTTCCAGTGCGTTCGTCGATGTCGAAACTGTGGTCAGGATCGCCGTAAACGATCGAATAAGTGACATCGTTGTTTCGCACATGGACTTGACCTACATTGCGACGTTTCCATTCGGTATCGTCTTCAACTATTTTAAATTCGTAGCCGTAATTGTCGAAAAGGAGTTCTTCCAAGTCACGTTCTTTGATTATCTCAACGGTGGCATCTTCCGCAGCTCTCTTGTCACCGTGGTCTTTGGCTGAAATTTTTAATCGATGAATCGGTTTCGTCCACGATTTTAAATCGCCCCGGATTGTAATAACACCGGTCCATTCGTCAATACTGAATAAATCGTCACCTCCACTTTCTAGATTGTAAGTGATAATCGCGTTTTCGCCCTCGTCTTTATCGGTCGCTGCCACTTTTACCAGCGAACTTCCGGGTTTAACGTTCTCCGGGACGGCGAAGAAATAATTCTGAGGATAAAATTCCGGACTGTTGTCGTTCACATCAATCACATTCAAATACACAGTTGCTGTGGAAGATTGCGGGGGTAAGCCCTGGTCCTTGGCGATAACGTGTATTTCGTAATGTGAATTTTCTTCCCGATCCAATTTCTTTCTTGTGGTTAATTGTCCCGTTAAAGAATCCAAAACTAGAATGTTATCGTAATGTTGTTGAGTTACTGGATGTAGTGAATAGGCAACGCTTCCATTTGTTCCTTGATCATGGTCAGAAGCTGTTAGCATCGCAATTAAAGTTCCAGGAGGTGCATTTTCCGATAAGCTAACATTGAATTTTGATTGAGAAAATCTGGGGGCTTCGTCATTTTCGTCCAAAATCGTCACTTTTAGTTGTGTGTAAGCCCATTTCGGGTTAGGTCCTCCATCTCTTGCGGAAATATTTAATTCAACCGTTCCTTGCACTTCTCGGTCTAAAGTATCTCGAGTTGTTATCAATCCCGTATCAGGATTGATACTAAACCATTGGTGTTCGTTTCCCGAAACGAAAGCATAGTAAATTTGGGCATTGACACCGGAGTCTTCATCGGTCGCCGTTATTCCGGCCACATAAGTTCCAGGAGGTGCTAATTCACTTAAAATTGCTGAATATTCGCTTTTCTCAAAAACCGGCTCGTGATCATTGACATCGTTAACATGAATTATTAGAAACGCAGTCGCTGTTCGCGGAGGCGTTCCTTTGTCCGTCGCCACCACCGTCAGATTATATTTGCTAATCTCTTCACGATCCAACACCCCATTCACTCGCACAATGTCAAAACTTGGAGTATAATCCAACCGGAAATGGTTGAGTTCATTCCCGGAGACAATCCGAACTGTCGTTTCGCCGTTGAGTCCTTCATCGGAATCGACGACGGAGACTGCCGCCACCACCGATCCGTTCCCAGCGTTTTCATCCACCGTTGCAAACATCGCATTGAAGGGAAAATACCGGAATTTAATGACCGGATCGTGATCATTAGCATCTACTAAATTAACAGTGACATAAGTTCGGCCGTCTTGGCGCGGCGAGCCGTGGTCTCGCGCAAAAACCGTAAAAACGCAACTTTTCGGACAGGATTTCGTGGTTTGCGGACAATTTTGTTGCGGACATTCGAGCGTTTCAGTTGTTGAAATCACCCCGGTTTCTGGGTCGACCGTAAATTGGCGTTCTGTATCGGCTAAATAATATGTTATCTTGGCGTTATCGCCCAGATCATTGTCGGTCGCCATCACCTGCAACACCGGAGTGCCAGGAGGGACACTTTCGTTCAGAGACACAATGTAATCGCTGTGGTCGAAAATCGGGGGATTGTCGTTCACGTCGAGAATTGTCACGTTGACTTGGAGATAACCGAATTTCGGAGGAGTCCCACCGTCACGAGCCGAAATATTCAAGTAGTAGAAGCCTTGCGATTCGCGATCTAATTTTCCGGTTGTTTCCAAATGCAAATAGGAGGTTTCTCCGGTAGGGTTGACTGTCAAGGCTAATCGAAACTTGTCGTCTTTATTGCCGTCGATGATGCGATAATCGTCGGAAACACCATTGATTCCGATGTCTTTATCGCTGGCTGCGTCTAGAAGAAGACGAGTTCCGGCAGCCGCGCTTTCAGAAAACGCGACACTTATCGACGGTTCCGGGAATTCCGGAGGATTATCATTGATATCAAGTACAAGAATTCGCACCTCGATGGGATAAGTCGGTTGACTGGAAAGGACAACTAGATCATATCTATCGTTTTTGAGATTTTCCCGGTCGAGGATCGCATTCGTGCGAATTTCTCCGGTTTTTGCGTCCATGCTGAATTCCTTCGGAGGTTCGTTGAATCTATAAATGAATCCGGGTTTCGTAGGTATTTTTCCGATTAGTGTTCCTTTCGGTTGTCCTTCCTTAATTTCGAAAGTCACCCTTGTGTCGACAGCCCTTGATTGCATTTGCGTGGAGTAGTCTCCAGGGCCGGGTCCAGGCGGCTGTTGGGCCCCTGTCAGACAGAAAAGAGCGCCCAAAAAGCAAAAAGTGAGCCGCATTTTTTGCTCGAATTTGTCACTACCGCAGCATTGTTGGTCCGATTAGAATCTCTCGCGCTTTAGAGTCCGGAGTCAGTGCAACATTTCGGCTTGTTGACACGTGTGTTAGATGCTGTGCTGCTCTAACATTCCTTAGCCTCTCGCCCCGTCCACGAACTTGTTCAAGCCTCAAGAAAAGAGCATCGGTCTCTCTTGCACCGACAGCGATCGTATGACGGCGTCCCTCTTGGATTGGTATGCAATATGGCCGGCTCAGACGAGATCAACGGGGATTCGCTCTGGGATAAAACATACCGAAGAAGACGCCCGGAAACACGCAACAAAGGGCGTCGAATACCACCCGACAAGAATCCAACTGATCTGCACTGCACTAGCGGGTGTGACACTCGAATCACTTCGCGGAAATGCCGTCGACTCAATCCTGCTGTGCTTTTTCCCGGAGATTTCAACGATGGGCACAGCGACGATCCGAGGAATCTGCAGGAATCAAGCGTCGCGACGCTTTATCTCACATGTGCGAAGTGGACGAACGAACGACGAACCGTATTATCTCGCGCGCGGAGCTCGACTAAGCCGCATTTTCTTGGGAGGAGTTGTGGACCACGGCCAATGGTAGGTAACCTGTCGGTGTTGCCAACTCACCTGTACTTCAGATATCCGACCTAAACATAAACAATATTTATGAGGATGTCAGTTGAACCGAGTTTAGCTCGTAAATCTATTGTGTGTGTTTTTTTCTTAATTTTTATTTCCGAACGAATATCTAACGCATGATGATCGACAAGCCTTATCTTCGGTTTACCCCGTCTCTTATTACCTCAGCGATGCAGATCAGCTTTACGCTTGTTAATTAGGTCCGGAAATAATGATGGAACTGACTCGAGCGACTCTGCACATCTTTTACAAATCGTTTATTATAAGCGCAAATTACAGGCAATGACTGTAAGCGCTACATAAATTACGCTCAAATTTTTGCCTTATTTTACTACGAGTCCCACTTGCATTATAAAATTTATAATCAAGCCGCAAAAAAATTAAATACCCCATTGTTCATCATTTATGTATGGGCCGCACATTTTCGAAAAATGTAAACACGCTGTACAAATTTCGTTATCAAGACGTTATTATGTTAACATTTCATAAAAAAACAGCGGGTGTTATCCGTCCAATTTTTTTTTCTTTAAAAATGCAGGTAGAACAGCATAGACTTCGTTAGAAATGTAAATTTATGGTCCGGCTGAGACGCCGAAATTTTTACCTGTATTCAAATCAATTGGAACAACAATTTCATCATCAATAAATTGTAGACATCTACTAGAAAACACAGATTTTTTGCATTTGTTACAACGCGTGACAAAATTAGTACATTGATCAAAAATTCAACTTTTTGTTTTTCATAATTCTTAAATTATCGTTAATTTTATAACATCAGACTCTTCGAGAAACCTCTCAAAAATTTTTTTCTATAAAGGGAGTTAAAAAAAATGCAGAATATTTAAGGAGGTGATAGTATGAATCAAAATAAACAAAAAAGTGTTAACAAACATGGGTCTGCAAAGTAACGGTTTCGGAGATATCGAATGTGAAAATTTTTAGAATTTGCACTAGAAGCTTCTCTTTTTTGTTCTTTGCGGACCCATGTTTATTAAGACTCTTTTGTTTGTTTTGATTATTGTCTCCTGAAATATTTTACAATCTTTTTTTTAACAACCTGTATGTTATGTCCAGTACTACTGATGTGAAAAAAATCAAATCTAATTCAGCTCTAATAGTGGTTTTAACTGATCAGACATTAGAATTTTTAATAACCTTCCTCCAGGTATTAAAGAAATCGTAATTTAAGAGAATGCTGTATTCACATTCATTAAAACATTATTGTTTCTATTCCATTGAAGAATATCTTAACAATTAACATTTATGTAAACAGGTCTGATGTTTTTTATGTATTTCGATGTCTTAAACTTTAGTTTTGATACTGTTTGTTTATTGTAAGTAACTTTTCTTTTCATTTGTTCTTTTTTTTAATCTTAATATTATAAATTTGACGTATAAAGATGTATTGTACACATACCTGGCTGATAATAAATTGATTGATTGATTAAAAGCCGAATCTAAACCAAATTCAGACAGAAGAGCTCTTGTAAAACAAGTACACATGCATGGTGTCCCAGCAATTTAATTAAGTCTATTAGTCTATAGATGTTAAAATTTTAAGAAAATTGGATAGGTACGAAAGTCGGTTTTGATAAATTTTTGTTATAATTTGATTTTTATTTCAAGAAATTACAAAATTACAGTTACAAAAATTGATCGTACAGAAACTAAGAATTATAAAAAACAAGATACTTAACGAAGAAAATACCTACAAACTTTGAACAATCCAAGCTACCTTGTTTATAAATTATCACAAAACAGAAACACGTCATTCATTGTTGAAAATAGTTTTGTTTTAATTTTTTGTCTTTTATTGATTATTTTTCATTAATTTAGCGTCCACTAATAATAATCATTGATTTTTCTTCCAAGAACATCTAAAAAATATTTAATAAATTATCACAAAACAGAAAATACGTCATTAATCTTTAGTTTTGTCTTAATTTTTTCTTTTATTGATTATTTTTCATTAATTTGGCGCCCTTTTCCACTAATCACCTGAGACACCCTCGATCCGGCTCTGCTCATTATGGAGAATTTACTGACCCAAATCAAAAAAGTGTAGTACAAATGTACGTACTGGTATTTAATTAGAATTTGAAAAAAAAAACACTGTATTCAAACACATTTTTTTTTTAAATTTTTATGGCAGTTATCGCCAAAGGTCGCAAATGTCTTGTTTAAATCAAGCAAAACAAAAAATAGCGTAACAAAAAGTTACAATAATTAGTGAATCGTAAAATGAGATTATTCGTTTCTTTTTTACAATTAACTGACTAGGAAAATACATGATTATAAATTCGTCTTGGTTGTTTGGTTTGATGTTATTCTTCTTTGCCGTCGAGTCCGAAAATAACAATAATTTGTAAATCAAAGGCTTTTTACTGCCACTAAGGCCCCTTCAGCACAAGTTAAAATTTGTAGAATTTGACACATAAATAGATAAATAAATAAATGTAAACATAAATTTACGATTTACATACCCATGGAGTAATTTTTTGGCGCTGAATCTATTGATGACATCAAAAATTGTATACTCTAATTAGGGGAGCAGAGGCACTAAAGGTCAATCCATTTAAGATGTAAAATTTTGATTTAGAAGAAGTGTTTTGAAATTTTTTTGGCAGATTCAAACTTATTGGCTAATTTAGTTTTTAGTACAACGTACGAAAACGGTACTTTTGTAAATCGTGCACCCACTTTAATTCCGAAAAGCAACCCACGCAGAGTTTTTTCATATAAAACCGAATTATCGCTCTAGTTGCTTTAGGAAGCATTTCCGGACATAGGTTTATAAGAACTTGTTTCCTGTTTTCTTGTTGTCAAAGTGCAAAATTTACCCTTGAAATTTATATAGATATCGAGAGACCTATTATTATACGTCGACTAATTTCAGTGCATTTTACCGTTTTACCTTTAGACTTGTCATTTGATTTGACGTTTTACCTGTAGTAAGTTCAAAAACAGACATACGTTTTCGCATCCAAAGATAAATTATTTTGATCTCTCGATAGAATTTTTTCAACATTTTTCCATGTTCCTGGTATCTTAGGTATAATTGAGTGCAAAAAAACGCAAATTGATTTTTTACAATGTAATTTGGCCTGTAAATAAATGCCAGTTTTTTGACGTAGTCTTGTCATAATTCTCAATTTCATAATTGTCAGGCATCTTCCAAATTTCTATCAAGTGCACTTCTAAAGAACTTTACATGACATTTGCATCTGGGACGCGAGTTCTGGCGCAAGGCGCACCCTGTATAAATGTAAAAGTGTAAATTTTCTTCAGAACCTAATATTTCATTTTACAAAATTTAGTTCAAATAAAGCTTAAAAATACAAAAAATCTTTATTTTGCTTTAACCGAATTTTCGACGCACCGTCGTTAGTCTTTTCCTCGGTCTTATCAAATTCAGTTAAACGGGACTGTAGGTAGTATAAAATTTAGAAAAATACAGTTTTTTAAAATAAAATTTTAAATTTATGGCACTATGTTAAAACGTATTTGATTATTAATAACTTTAGAAAACAATATTTTAAATACTTCTTGATTAATGTTTCTTTTTTTTTTAATTTACTGGCACTTCTTGATAACCAAATTCACCAAAAATCCTCTTTACTTTTTAATCTTAACAAAATGCAGTGGATATTTTTTTATATCTATGTACAAAGTAAAACCCAGTTTATTAGCCCTGTGCAAATGTTTATCAAAATGTCGACGGACAAGACCCTCTAATGTCTAGGTAATCGTCCTTGCCGTCGTATCAAAAAAGATTGTGCTTGGACTATATGGTGGAAGTCGACGGTTAACGAAGCACACCAGTCTTTAGACGAAGAAGAAACACCTTGATCAAGTAATTGGCCACAATATAGATGCCAGACTGGTGCATTGAATTTTTAACGACGCTGACTAGCTTTGAATCGTATTGTTGCGTAGGGCAGTTTTCTTTTTTGATTTTGTTCAACGTTTCGGTGGCTTCGATTTTACACCGTCTCGACGAAATTCTTGAGGTAAAGCCGCCTTGATTACTTATTGTGTTGACGGCAATAAGAGCTTTATGTGGCATTAATTATCGCCTCTGTACGCTTTAACGTTTCATCAATGCGCGTCGAAAAATCGAGAAAAATTGCGTTTTTATTAGTTCAACGGTGACAAACACCTATAAATCACCATCAGCGAAATAATGAGAAAAAATAACGCAAGAGCTGAGTTTTATTTTAATTATTTATGTACGCGCGGCCACATCGTAAGCTTTTAACTTTAAAATATATTTGCAGACCATTAAAATAAACTAAGCGGAATAAATGAATGGCCGTTGTTTTCAGGCAAGTACTAATAAGCCGATATCAAATTGATATTTTTGCTCGATTTTTATCAAACCCGTTTCAATAACACGAACAAAAACGCAATTTCAATAAAACTAGAAATGTTTTTATTGCAATCATCGTGTTTCATGTTAATTTATACACCAGACTCGTTTTCCAGAGCTTTATTTCAAACACTCATATAAAATTATAACGTCATAAAAATTAGGATAGATCATTCAAGTATGGTTTAATATAAAATTGTTTAACTAAGAGTTCGACGAATTTCGCGGCGTTATGCATGGAATTTTCGGCATCCTGTATTTTCTTCAACGCCAATTCTTCGCACTCTTTGATTTTCCCTTGGGACTGGCCGAAGCCAAGACTCATAAGTATCTTGGCGCATTCGCTATTTCCCCCCGTTTGACCCACACGGCATGGGGCATAAGCATGGCGTCTGACTACCTGAGGCGCTCCTTTCATTTCAGGTAGTTGGGCCAAGATGTAGCCGGCCAAAGCGCGACACAAAAATCTGAAACTGAAAACGAAAATTCCACAGAATCGAACAACACTAAAACTAACTTGATCGAAATGGCATCTTGTTTGCTGATCCCGATAGCGCTGAGCAGCCCTCGCCCCCACTTCGAACCCGCCTTATCTTCCGATATTTGTATGAGAATTTTCGCGAACTTGTGTAAAATCACACCGGTGGTATTTTCGTCAATTTCACAATACTGCAACGTTAAGCGAATAATCCCGATCCAAAGCAAAGGGACTTTAGATTCGGCGGATTCGCCGCTGAATTTCAGATCTCGCATCCATTCGGTGGCTAAATTGAGAAGTCGTTCAAAGTCATTACATTTATTTATTTTTTGGAGGAAAAGGGCGTTCAAAGCCAGGATATACCCACGACTAAGCATGACTTTTTCCAACTCTTTTTCCTTATTTTTGACCACGCTCAAAATTTCCGCAACTTCACACCAACTTGGATTAAATGAACCGGAAACTAAATTATTATGTCGACATGTCGGATCTTTGTTGCAAACGTACCACTGCTTTGAAAATAACACGTTAAAGTTGATTCCAGTAAAAAACCAAGTGCTTCAGGATCCTCGACTGTGATTCCTGAAACTTGCAATATTCCTCGAACAGCCATTTCATCCCCAGTCTTATATAACAGCCATGAATCAAAACATTTTAAAACACAATGACGAATGTCAGATAAATTTACGATTCCTAGCAGTTCCCTCAAAATTGCGTTAAATTCCTCTTGGATTTTTACATTTTTTTCCAAGTGAAACAATTGTTGGGTTATCACAGTATTCAAATCACTCTCTTTGGTTGCAACTACAGACTTACACCTATTTACGTAAACTGATAACAATTTCACAAAACTTTTAACATAAATGAATCTTTTAGTCCGAATCTGGGCGTCGCTCTCCTCTAAAACTCTGTCGTACCCAGAAACACATTGCAGGAAACTAAAATCATTCAGTTTTCCGTCATTTACAAAAATTTAAAAATACTCACTGTAAGACTCTGAAATCAACATCAAGCGGATCGCTCCTGAATATAACCGAAGGGTCACAACTGAGGACGTACCAATCCATTACATGTTGATAAACACTCGAATCTACAGTTTCCAAGCCAAAGTTCTCCGATTCTACTAACAGACTTTTAATTCGATCTGAATATTTATTACGCACGTTGGGTTCATTTGATAATTTCACCAAAAGATGGAGGTAACAATGACAGATGCGCTCTCTAATCTGTTGCGGAGACCCTCTAAAATTACTGAGCCAAGGAGACCAAGACACTGCCATGAAAATATGTCCAAGGAACGAATGTGATTCGGGTAGATATTGATCAATCACCCGTAACATAAACTCCAAATCGGTCACAGATGGCCAGAAACTCTCCCAAGGAAACGTCAAAAACGAATGATGAACAGGTCCCAAAATGTGAACTTTGACCGCATTATGCGCGAAACTCGTCACATACCACTGCCATATAAAACTCAGGATATTACCGGACGAGGCCGGCAAAGTATAAATGAGAAAATGGACGCATTCGCAGAAGATGTTGACGAGTTTTTGGGCCAAAGGCCCGTCTGAGGGGATCCAAGGGAGAAGTATTGAACGATCGTCCGCCAACTGCTGGATCCACGAAGCCATATTCTCCTTCAAAGTTTGCATGGAGTACGGAACGATCCACGGAGCAAACATATTGATCAAATAAGGCCAAATTTTTTGGAGCATCTTATCTCCAAGCAACCCTTGATGCGTATTCAGAGTACTTGTTATGAGACCATGACCCGTCATCCCCAGAAGAATAACAAAAATGTCGATATAATTCCGACATTTCGGGTAAAGACCATACAAACCGTACTGCAACCGTTCCTGAGTGAAGTGTTTGGCAAACAATTCAGCAGTTTCTAACAACTCCTGATGTTGCAACATTTTCTGATGTTGAGTGTATTGTCTCAATTGATCCTTCAGAGGCGCTTTATAATTAATTTGAACCGGATGAGCCAAACAATTGACAATATCTAACCAAACACTAGTCGACAAAAGAGAATTCTCACTACTTCCATTACTACTTTTCAAAAGATTGATCAAAACGTCACCGTAATGTTCGGGGAATTGAAACTCAAATATGGTCAACAAGTGACGTCTGTATAAGCCGTGGAGGATCAAGGATTCCACAGAAGGCTCAAAACCTAAACTTGACAAAGCTCGAACGACACACTGGATGAATTCCGAACGTTGATTCAATTTTGGTTCCTTCACATGTAACCATTTATCGATTTCGAACTACAATAAAAAATAAAATTTGGTCGAACTCCTACAATTACAAACCTTTGATAAAAGAGCGAAAGCCACGTCGTAGTTATTGCCAATCTCTTGACAAATCCTCGAGTACATGTAGAGAAGATTCACAGTGCCAACATTACTTGGAGAAAAATGTGGTGCCAAATACCCCCCTAAAGCTGGTTCTTTGAGAATTTTCTCCAAAAGACGTGGCATTTCAAACTCAACCCCGGATATGTGCGACTGTCCTAACCTTTCTAAACACGAGGCAAACAATGTTTTAGTTGGTAAATAACCACTAGTTTCGTCATTTATCAACGACAAGATATGATAAAACAATTCGGTACCAAGTTCGCCCCTGGAAGGGTTACCGACTTGCAATTGTAATATTCTGAAACAATTCAATTCAATAATTGTTCGATAACTTTCAAAATCATACTTTATAGCTTGTTGTAATGTCACAGAAGCGGTACAAAGTGCTGTAGCTGGTGCTTGTAATGATTTTGTCAATAAAGACTCATACGCGTTTCGGTTTGTTTGTATTTGATGATCGATTCGTTCATTGACTCTTGCTTCTTGCACTTCTAGTACAATAAGGGCAGCCCCTGAACAATTCACAGTCTCATTTCGGCCTTTACAAGGAATTTTCTTGCTCACTTTGTTCAAAACAGAACGGTACAATTGAGGCACTAATTCCTGATACGAGCAATCCAAAGCTTTATGTTCCGACATTTTCAAGGTGTGATTGCTACGGATCAACTGTTATTTTCATTAAAGTCGAGCAACTTAACTTACTGTGCAAACTGTTTCAAAGTCTTGAAGCACTGATCTAACGAATTAAGTAATGAAGTTTTATCTGAGAAATCGATAGTAGGAATGTGGAGAAGGTTGTTGTTGATGTCAGGAGGGCTTTTGCAAGTTTCGTAAGAGGTCAAACGGCGTAAAATCCTCTCGACTGGATCGACGCTTTCCATTGATTTTCCCGGGTTCAGGAGAGGTTTATTGATGTTTGCTTTGTGACGAAAATTTGAAGATTGCCAAATTTGGACAGACTCCACTTGCTCCAATTTGATTTTCTCATAATCGACATACTCATACCATGGAGTCTGCATCAAACAATAATAAAACACTACTAATGATAAATAGACACATACATTACTGCCTTGAATGATAAAAGCCAACAAATTCGGTTGATACAAGGCCGGTAATGAAGGCAAAAGAAGATTGTCTTTTTGGAGTCGAGGCTCTTCTAACCACGCACTGAAAGCTTTAAACAAACTGAAACGAAAAAAATGATTTCGCTATCAAGAAAAACATACTTGACGCAAGCTTCCAGAAACAACCTCCGTGAACTGTCTTCTTCACCATTCATTTTTTCCACGTAATAATCCAAAGTTTCTTGCAATTTTCGTTTCATACGTTTCAAGAACGCAAAGTTAACTAAACCGTCGAAGAATTTTTCACCCACACAACCGTTGCTGTTTGCCCGACTCACTGGAATCCTTGCTAAATAAAGAATGAAGAATTTTTGCCAAAGTAAAGGTAACAACGGATGATCAATTGGCGAATCCATTGCTTGTTGGGCCCACCGATAAATCGACAAAGATCCTGAACTGAAGGGTGCAACTTTTAAAATCGAAGCAGCCTTTTTTATAGCCGCGTCAACATTGACTTTGCCCTTTTGACCATCAAGTTGCAAGAGTAATTCTCGCCATAGACCCGTCCTCTTTTCGCGGTCCTCAAATTCCAGTTCGATCACCAAAAAGGCGAGCCAAGTGTAACTCGATAGTGAACCGGATATGAGAGTGAAGTTTGAACCAGAACTTGAAACCCACTTGAAAAGGGAACTAATCGTGCCTTGTTCTTGTGTAACATTGTTTTGTAAGAGTTCCTTTAGGATGTTATTGGTCACTTCGAGGGCGTCTTGATGGAAAAAAGCGGCTCTTATTATCACATCTAGCAAGTACATGACACCACAGTCCCGGCTCCAATTCGGGATAGAAACAAAAGTGTTGACCCACAATCGTACTAAACTTCGGGGACTAGACAATCCATAATTGGCAAAATTGACAATTTGGGTTTCAATCATGTTTCCAAATTGTTGTAAAATCGTTTTTTGAACACTTATCAAACTCTTCGCCATTGATATGTAACCTCGATCCGCGTTTATTAACTTGGAGATGATTTCTTGGAAACGTTCGTTGTTTATTATATACTCCTGCGAGTCTATGAATAAAGGGACGATCACATATAGGGCAAAAAGCACAACTTCGTGTTTTTGATGAGTTTGTAGAAAAAGTAGTTGGGAGAGACCGTTTCCGCAAATCAGAGGTATTAAGTGACCCCAGGAAGTCATCAAAACTGACACAAAACTAGCCAAGGGTTGTTGTTGGTGAACACCTTTGATCATCACATCGTAAAATTCCGGATCCTTGACTTGTTTAATATCATCGAATGCTTTATCATTGATGTGAAGCTTCAAACGCAGGATGGTTTGCCAACCCCACTGAAGGTAACCTGGTTCTTGCTCAGAAGCTCTCAAAACCAAGAGAGCAACCTCACAATGTAACTTATACGGGATTATGTCCCAATTTAAGCGTGATAAAATCATCCTAGCTAGCTTACTTTCATTTGATTGGATCGAATTATGGCACAAAAGCCACGCAATAATCGATAAATCGTCATCGGTTAGTTTCCAAATGGTCAAAGGCAACTCTTCATACAGATATAGCACTAGCGATCCGGCCAATTCAATGTTTTCTTTGATGTATTTCAAAATCATTGATAGTAAATGATGATGTTTGGACGTGATGTGTGTCAAAAGCGTCCTCGCCGATTTCGAACAAATGTCCTGAGTCATCTCGCTGATAAATCCCACTTGCAACAGATCCTTAGTGGCAGCTTCGATAAAATCCATTTCGTCGGATTCCCTCGCTAACGCCATATTCGCAAACGTGTTTAAAAGATAATAAAGTTCGTCGTCGGCCAAAGCGGAGAGTTTTTCCTCAAACTGAATTCGAAAATTCCTATCCCATAGCTTTTCCGCATTGTCAACCGCAAGAATCCCTTGATCTGATTCATGTAAAAAATAGAAAATCTTCCAAACTGTTTCAATCGTAATCATGTTGTAGGGTATCACAGCGAGGAACTGCCAAGCCCCCGACCTTTGTGACGTATAAAGGTAATGAATCGCACGTAGGAAAAACGCATCGTATTCGACTTGAAGCCGCTCCATCATGGCAGTATCACTCGAAGTGGGATTTTTCTGGAAGACCTCCCATTGGTCAGTAGCATATTGTACGATATGACGTATCAATCTACTTAAACGTTTCGCGAATTGTTTATATCGCGACTGGTCGTAAGTCCGGAGTCCGTTATCAACGATTTTGAGGAAAACAGTCGCAAAAGCAAAAAACCGCAAAATGTGGTGTTGTGACACCTTTGAACAGTCGTAAAAGTTCTCGAGGTTTCGCCTTTCGACTAAAAGGACGTTTCGGAAAAGACGTTCCAAAGGCAACTGTGTAAGAAAAGCGACTAAATCGTTTTCACGAAGCGAACAACCCGATTCGTCGTCTTCTTCACCCTCTGAATCGACGACAATCCACAGAGATTCACCGGGAGTATCGTGGTCTTGGACCACGTCGGCCAAAAATCGCTCGCGTTCTTTTATAGGTGATAGAATCATTGTTAGAACAGCTAAGACATGATTAATTTGGTACGAAGAGAACGGTGGTTCCGAAAACGTTTCATATAAAGGAGTTTGAATAAAGGAGGAAGCCCACGAACCGACCCCAGCTGGACATCTTAAAATGTGACTAACTATAAATAAATGGTCTTGGTAAGTGGCGAGTCGCAGTAAGACGGCAATTAAACGACTCAACCACTCTCTACTCTCTTTGAGAAACTGCACGTCTCGAATTAACTTGCGTTGAAAAGCGAAAAGAACCGAAATACATAGTCGAATTTCGCACAAGAATGGTTTAAGGTGGAGAGGTTCGTCTTGCAGTGATAAAATGATAGGAGAATCCTTGCTGACACCCGTAGCGTTCATGCAATTATTAATCGCAGTTTGGACGTACAATTCGATCTGAAATTACCGTTTCACTTTTTGTTAAAAAAAAATTGAAAAATCAACCTGTAAACGCAAATCTTCGGCTGTATACGAAAACAGAGTGTAGTTATCGTACGTCAATTTACGGATTAAGCCCAAAACACGAGCGATACTCTGAAAAACGGATCTGTGAAAGGTCGCTTTTTGATAAGAATGAGTCGTTGTAACGCTATTGCCGTCAAGGCATTCGCCTCGACCGGTCACTGTCGCCGTGTCTGTCGTCCAAAGCATCGCTTGTAACTCGCGATATTCTTTCCTGAGTTGGTCTAGCTCCAGTGAATTCCCTACATTAAAAAAATCAGCAAATAACCAAACAATACAAAAGGAAGTACCTATAATTTTAGCCCTAACTTGCAAATAAGTAGCTAAAAGTTCATACAAAGGGTGGTGTTTCGTAGCAAGTCCTTTCAGTTCAGCTTCCACAAACTGGGAAGTAAACTCTCCAATCATTTGTAACTCACTGTTTGTATACAGAGTAGCGAGCTGCTCCTCAGTGTAAGGTTTTATGGCCTGTTTTTGCAAAACTACAGTTTTAGGATACTTTTGCTGTTTAAGCTCGCACGCAAGAAGTTTACTTGAGTTAAGCAGTTTGTCAAATTCGCCAATTTGAGTTTGAGACTCATTAGTTGTTGTGACCTCACTTGTGTTATTTTGCGTCGCAATTTCTTCTTTGGCCGCTTCCTCACAGCTGTCGATGTCTTTCTCGTCATTTTTTAGTGTAGTCACTTCGGGAGTGACTTTCTTATCGCGCTGTTTTTTCTAAGTGAAAAAGTTACGATTGTTTTCAATTGACAGGTAACCTTACCTTTGTTTTTTGTTTTGGTTTCACTGCCTCCATTGTTAGAGCAGGGTAAGAAGATCACTTCGAAAAAAAATTTTGGTGCAAAAAGTCAGCATTATTGAATTTTTAAATCATTGGAAAATCATTTCCAAGTGCACAATTCACTTTGACATTTGATATTTATTTTTCTCTACATTTTATCTACGAGGTATTTCCCCGTCGGATTGTTATGCAACCAACAAATCACCAAAATAAATAATTTATTAATTTATTACATTGATATTTTAAAACAGATATATCACGTTTTTGCGATAACAAGTAATTTTATTGCAATATTAAATAAGAAGTTATTTTATATGTTTATTTTAAGGTAGTTTTTGTGAAGTCACGGTAGTCCTTTAGTAGATCTAATAAATGACAGTAGTTGTAACATCCAAAAAATAACTTCTTGTCAACATCATCACATACCTAACTTTTTAATCGTTTGAATTTTATCTTATCGTTTCAGTAAATAAAAGAAAACATGTCTTCGGTAAGGTTTTTTACTTTGTAAATTTGTCTCAGTCTTAATTTTAGCCTCAAACTCACGTTTACAAAGTCGCGATGACTTGTGAGGGGTGTTCAGGAGCAGTGGAAAGGGTACTTAATAAATTAAAAGGTGATTAACTTCTGTTTTTATTATTATCAAGCCATTTACAACACATATTTTAGATAAAGGAGTAGAAGATGTCAATATTGATTTACCTGGGCAACAGGTAAAGGTGAAAACATCACTATCATCACAAGAAATCTTGGATGTCATTAAAAAAACCGGAAAAGAGACTGAATTTATTCAAACTTTGTAAAATTAAAACATTCTTTAATGCAGCTTATTTGGGAAAATTAAAAATTGATTAAATTGGATTGTATTATTATTATTTAATAAAATTTATGTTGTTAAAACGTGTTTTTATCATTTGTGACCTTTCCATAATTCTACAATTTCCAACAATTTCTTTTTGTGGCTTTCTATTCTGTTACGTTTTAAATTTTCAAATTCTTCACAAGGAATTTCGGTAGTTTTAGGTGTATCACTTTGAACATCACTATCGTAAACATTTGCTTGATCGTTGACCTTAAAATTAATATTTAACAATAGTAGAAACACACTTTTGTCTTACATCACTATCCTGATGAAAACTGATAACTTTTGTTAAAGGAAAACTGTCAGTTCTCTTCTTTTTCGACGCTTGGAGCCCCCTAACTCGCCATAAATACTGGCTTGATCGACGTCTCATCCCATCAGGCTTTTAAAATTCAAAAACTTAATAAAACATATTTATTCAATGTAAGCCTTACTTGTGAAATAGTTTCTTCAATTGGTAAAAGCAAATCTTGTGCAGATCTATTCACTTTGACATTCATCGTAGAAGGGAAAGGATATTCCTGCATATAATTTTTTGAAGCTATAGTAAACGGTAGAGAATTCGGTGCGGTTTCATTCCAATGAGAGTCACGCATTAATTTGGGATGTTCTTCGTGTATTTTATCAACTAACAAATAACACACTTGGAGGTGCCGGTCCACCATCCACACCACTTCAAAATCATCATCGTCATCACCGTAGGGATTAATCAAAACTTCGGCTACTTTCAACCATCCCATGTAGAAAAAAAATTCAATGACGAGAAAAAACGGGAAATAAAGGTCGATATTTTGGTGCGACTCATCCGACAAAATGTATTGCCTCCCAATTGCAGAAACAATGAAATAACAATAAACTACAAGAGTCACCACTTGGGTGTAAACCAAAGGAACGCTGATCCAGTCATAATCCAACATTCCGCCACATTTGCTCCGGAATAAATTCAACTCTTCGAGGATGGTTTTGACGGACACGTCGTCTCTGATGAGGCCTTCATTGCGGGCTCTTGTCACAACATTTGCGGCCCACGCCAACGGAAGCCTTAATTATTACAAATTGATGAAAACAATAACACATTTTATACTTACTTACCAGTATTTTGAGTAACTTGGAAATTCGTTGTCTAAATCGTTCATTATTTTGACTTCGTCTTTAGTGAGCAAACCAGCACTGACGAAATGCTCGAAAGTCGGAAAACGTTTTTTAACTCTTGGTGACAGCATTGTCAAAGTAATTGTGAACGTTGCACAGGCATAACGCACGATCGTCCGTCGTACAATTCGTGCTTGTTCCATCTTAAAACTTGTGTTTTTGAATTGCATATTTATTTTTTCTACAAACCTGGCCTTTCACACTAGCTCCTATTAATATTGCGAGATTGTCTGGGAATGGAATTGAGCAATATTGGCTCCACCATCTCGTCATTACCAGACTCACATAAAAACCCAATATGAAACTAAGAGGGATCCGATTTGAATATGTATCGCAGTATTTTATAAGTTTTTCGAAATACCTTGCAATTATGTATTAGTTATATTAAAATAAATATTATCTTATCTTACTGTTGCCATATCGGATTGGGAATAAAGTGATAACAAAAATTAATGGCATAATATAACAATAAATATAGGAAAAGATCAACCCAAACCAATTTGTAGATGCTCCCTCGCCATCTGAAATAATCATAAACATAGTGTGTTTTAACAAAAAAGAAATTGTTTTTTACCTCAGTAAGAGTTTCAAAAAACAAGAAATACCACTACAGGTTGTTACCTCGCTAGTGTAAGTCACCGTCATTTCTAGTCTTATCGAATTTTATCAAGGGATTAGGATAAAATGAAAGATCGTTCGATTTACTTGAACTTAATTTAATTTATTTAATTATCAAAATTGGTCACGTTGAGTCCTTTTGCTCGAGATAGTGTGCCAAATTACGCCTGAATCTCCGTAATCTTTCTTCTTCTCGCTTTTGCTTTAACGAGTCGAATGAGGGAGCTGCGTTTTGGGAACTGTAAAATAAATTTAGAGTAGATTGATTATACAATAGGTAATGTAAAACACGACCTGTCGAGAGGTTGAGTTTGTTTAAAAATATCCTGAATGTGGGGCCGCTTTTGGTCATTATCGCGCAAAGACATGATCGTCAGTTGCTCGTCGACTTCTTCAATGACCTCCTCGAGTTTTTTCTTTGGTATTGTCTCCCACATTTCTTGTTCCGAATCGTTCGAAGTACTGTCACTTCTCACAATTTTGCGTAAAAGACTTACAACCGAATTTGATCTTTTCCTCAAGTTGTTGGACGAAGCGTAGATTCGGTACGAGGAACCTCCAATGAGATCGTCCTCGTGTTTTGACATTAAATTCGCCGTGGAGGGTAAAGGGTGCATTTCGCGGTACTGTTCGGTTTCCGGGGTGTAGGGCAATTCCTCCGGGAGAACTTGGTCCCAATAATGGTCTTTGATCAACTCCGGGTGTTCATGATGCATTTCGTCGACGATTAAATACGAAATCTGCAAATTCCTGTCAACCATCCAGTTGAGTTCAAAGTCATCGTCGTCATCTCCGAAAGGGTTGATCAGAGTTTCGGCAACTTTCAACCACCCCATATAGAAAAAGAACTGCAAGAGTGTGAAAAGGGGGAAATAACTGTCAAAAACATATCCGTGTCCTGCGACACACTGGTGTCCCATTAAAGCCGAGAGGAAATAAGTGTAAACAGCCAAAGTGACCACTTGGGTGTAAACCAGCGGAATGCTAATCCTGTCATAATTGATCAAAATCCCGCATTTTCCGCGAAACGCATTGATTTCGTCAAGCATCGTCTTGACGGCGAAATCGTCCCGAATCCGGCCTTCTTTGCGAGCTCGCGTCACGATGCTCGAAGCCCAAACTAGTGGCAGCCAGTGTTTGGAATAAGAAGGAAACTTCTGGTTCAATCCTTGGATCACTTTCTTCTCGCTCTCTTCAAGCAAACCAGCTTTCAGCAAATGATCCAGAGTTGGGAATCGTTTTTTTACTTTGGGGGAAATATTGGAGAAGAGCATTGTGACAGAGAGACAAACGTAACGCATTATTGTTCGTCGCATGACTCGGCCGCGTTCGTCCTACGATAAAACTTTTCGGACGTTTTTAAACGATTTTCTACTTACTTGGCCGTGAATTGTCGCGCTCACGTAGACTGCGGTAGAGTCCGGGAAGGGAATTGAACGGTACTGGTCCCACCAACGGGCCATTACGATCGAAACATAAAATCCCAAAACGAAAGAAAGGGGGATGTAATTCGTGCTGGCGTTACAATACTGAACGATTTGGATAAACATTCTAAGAAAAATTAAGCCGAATTTTGGAAATTTGTACTTACTCACGACCGATCGGGCCCAAGATGTATCTATACGTGAGATTTAAGAAGTAATAAATAAACAAGAAAACTAGCAATTCTTTGTAGACAAGTTTGTAAATACTTCCCTTCCATCTAAAATAAATGTGTCATTAATTAATTAAAAATCAGCGTTGATTTACTTTAGTAATAATTTTAAAAAGCAGGAGAAGCCACGACAAGTTGCAACTTCTTTCGTATACGTCACAGTCATATTTGTTTAACTACTTACTAAATCACAGTTTTCTTATCAACTCCTACTCTTATCACCTTTTCTAACTCATAACACTTGGCCTTAATAAGTAATTAAGTTGGCGAACAGATCATTTCATTAGTTACAAAAAATTCCGATCGAGTATTGCGGACCTAAAACCTCATATAGGTTCTAAAAAATTGCAGCAATTTGTATTTATCTTACTAACATCCTGACCCGCAATTTTGTTCATTTGTTTTGTGGTGAATCATTTTTTTAATGTTTTTCGTGATGTATAATATCTCTATCTAAATATATAAATATTTATAACAGTTTTGCATTAGATTGAAAAATATATTGTATGTTAAAAAATGGAATCAAGCAATTTCTGATTATTAAACTATTCATTTTCTAGATTTTTTATGATTAAAAAATACCGTATGTCTAATAATGCGATCGCTTTTAAAGATTAATATTTTGCTAAGTTTGCTTTAAATTTTCCACTATTTTTTATTTATGCAAGAAGAACTAATAAGTATTTTATTGAATTTATTTTGCAATGTTGTTTTAAGTAACTATTTCTGATTGTGAATGCGGAAGTGTTTGTTGTAGGTGAAAAAGGTTGCTCATTTTTATTTCTCGCTTTTACAATAAAAGAGTTTTTACCTGTTTTATAACAGAAAACGCAAGAAAAATCGTAATGTGCTTTTTGATTTATTTAATTTTTAACGTACTTGTACATTGCTTAATTTAATATCACTATTAAAGTTTAAAGTAAGTATGAACGCTCTTTTGCTTTAAGTAATAAAATATATATACGTATCAGTTTATAAAATCACATTTTAATCAATCATATCTTATCTAACGTGTTATTTGCTAACGTTACTTAGGCGGAGATTCGTAAAAACAATGTAAATAATACTGTCTTAAATTACTGAAGCCGGTGAACTTGGACTCTGCGGTTCCTTTGAACTATCTTTGTCTAACAGAACTTCGCATTCTTCACCGTCTTCATTCGGCGTCGTACTAACGGACCTCAGGAGATTCACTTTTAATCTGAAAATTTTTTTCTTGAAGAATGTTCACTCGATTCTTGCATTTCTCATTACCTGCTTAGTCTTTCCTCATCCCGCTTTTTCTTCAGTTCGCTGAATTCGTCTTTTTCTGATGATGAACTGCCAATACTGACATTATCGGTGGTATCTTTATAGTCATCTTGCGTGACTGGAGCCGATGTCGACAACGGAAAAGGGTCATAAACAGTCCTAAAATTACGCCAATTCCTTATTTTATAAACCACGCTTCCAATTAAATTCCTGATCAAAGTAATCTGCGACTTTGAAATTATATTGACAACATTGAAGTTTAACGTTAGAATTTGATAATTGTTGCCAACTTAATTTCAAATCACAGGCGACTTTGACTGGAAATTTAATTGACGACATGGTACCTCGTCCGTGTGTTGAGCGAGTTCGGCACGCTGATGGGCTCCGAGTGGGGTGGTGGTCCAAACACCCCGAGAACACTAGGTCGGTTTTCATTGGCTGATTTTTGCGAAGTTATTGTCGTTTGCTCATCCACTTCTTCGATAACTTCAGTCGCAAACTTTTTGGAGTTTGTGGGATTCTTCACATTGACTTGAGTCAATTCTTGACTTTCCTCCGGTTTTGGTTTATCTTCTTTGCTCAAGAATCGTTTCAACATGCTAGTCACTGAGCCCGCTCTGGAAATCGGCCGCGAATCAGGGACGGAATTCCCCATTCCCATCGATGTTTGCGAATTGCCTCTTCCCGGCTTTGCTGAAAACATTATCCCACCACTGTTCATCATATCTCCTGAAAGTTCGTCGATTTTCAGAGATGAGGGTCCGATCAAGTCGGATTCGACGTTGGGGTGGACTTGTATGTTCGCCGTTGAGGGTAAAGGGTGGCTTTCGCGGGTCGAAGAGCCCGTGTAGGGGAGTTGTTGAGGGAAAACTTCGTCCCAATACTGGTCTCGGACCAGTTCAGGGTGCTCGTGGTGCATTTCGTCGACGATTAGATAAGAGACTTGCAAGTTTCGGTCGACCATCCAGTTGATTTCAAAGTCATCGTCGTCGTCGCCGAAGGGGTTGATCAACGATTCGGCCACTTTGAGCCAACCGACGTAGAAGAAAAATTGCAACGTTGTGAACACGGGGAAATATAAATCGAATTTGTACTCGTTTCCCTCGACCCACTGTTGGCCCATTAAAGTTGTAAAAAAATAACTATAAACGGCCAAAGTGACCACCTGGAAATCAAAATTGTACTAATTTTTCTTCTTAGAGAAATTCAAACTTACTTGGGTATAGACTAGAGGCACACTTATCATGTCATAACTTAATAAAAGTCCACACTGCCCTCGGAATTTATTCAACTCGTCTAGCATAGTTTTGACGGCAAAATCGTCCCTAATCCGACCCTCTTTCCGGGCACGTGTGACAATACTTGATGCCCACATAATCGGCAACCTTTAATATTAAATCGGTTACGAATTAACCCGTTTAGAAAACGACTTTACCAATGCTTCGAATAGTTGGGGAATTTTTTGTTCATATCAGCGATGATGTGCTTTTCGCTTTGATGCAATAACCCGGCTTCTATAAAATGGTCCAAAGTTGGAAACCTTTTTTTCACTCTTGGTGATATCATAGCGAACATCATCGTCACACACAGACACACATAACGCATGATGGTGCGTCTCATCACACGACCTCTTTCATCTTGCCCATGGACAGTAGCACTCACAAAAACGGCCAAAGGATCAGGGAAAGGGATTGCCGTGTACTGATTCCACCAACGTGTCATCACTACAGATACATAGAAACCCAACACAAAAGACAACGGGATCAAATTGCTATATTCTTTGCAATATCGCACCACGTTTTCGAAGATCTCTTTGCCCTGATCGTCCAACAGAAAGCGATACATGAAATTGAAGCTGTAATATAGCATTAGGAAAACGATAAGGTCCAACCAGACCAGCTTGTATATACTGCCTTTCCATCTAAAAAGGAAACAAAACTATGTATTTTTCAGTTTAGAGTTATTGCAAAACTTTGTGCTCTACCAATATGCAATTTTTTCAATCAATTCTTTCAAATCAATTTATTACACATTTTGAAATACCAAAAACGTTGAAAAAGACAAGAAAAATTCAAGCTTGGCTTTTTATCCTTTTTTTATATGTATTACAAATTTGTAACTTTTGAAAAAGTTGTAAATCAAGCCAGATAATATTCTCCAAACTATAGAAAAATTCAAAAAGACCGTACTAGGGAGGTTTTTAAAACCATTCATTACTCTCAAAACAACCTTTATTTTACTATAAGAATTTTTTATGACTTCAGACAAATTTGGGTTTTTGAATTTTTTGGAATATGATGTTTACTTTAGTTGGACAGTTGGTATGACAGACTATACTGCAACTGTGAATTGTCATTGGACTGACAAAAAAATGTATATAAATCGACGCCAAAAATAAATTTCAACTAAAACTTTCACTTTGAATTTTTCAATGGTATAGCTTGTTCCAAATCTGGTGGCGAACTGACGTTGTCAAAAATGACAGAATTTTGACACTAAACATATGTTTACTATTTAAAAAAATATTGTTCATAGGCGTCGTATGAAATAATATTTTAAAACCACCGTTATTCTTTAAAAAAATATAATAAGTAGGTACTCGTACATAAGATGAAAAATGATGAACAAATTATTAAATTGTTAACGCATGAAAAGAATTTTCAAAAATGATATTCCTAACAATCCTTGTCTTCAAAATTTTTAGAGAAAAAAAGTACGCCCATGTATTTTTTTATCTTAACCAAGTGGGCGCACTCCAAGTGTCTTTTCTGTCACTGTCAGTTCGCCACCAGATATGGAATAAGCTCTAGTTTTAGTTGTACCTAGTTGTTAGTGAAAAGTCAAATTTGACGTTAAAGCCTACTGTACATTAAATTTTCAGAAAATCTTAAAATTTTGATGTCCCATTTTTTTGTTCGGCATGGTAGTACCAAATTCACATTCACTCTGCACGTTGAAAAAAACGGAAACCGGAAATCCTTAATAATATTTATAAGAAATAGCTAATTTATACATAGTTTTCATTTTTAATTAGTAATAATCTTGAATAAAGTGAATACAATGAGTTGAAATTAATACTGCAGTGTGAAGAAAATAGTGTTACAAAATTTTGATTCAGTCATCAATTATTTCGTGTGGGAACAACTTGTTACAAGTTACAACAACGAAAATCACACAAGAGCGGTAAGCTAATAAAAATAGCTCTGGTATTTACCTTCTTAATAATTTGAGAAAGCAACCCAATCCTCGACAAGTTGCCACTTCGGCTGTGTATGTGACAGTCATGATTGTAACTTAAATCAATCGATTTCAATGCAATTTACTGCAGACAAATAAGTAATAATAATGACTGTCACCTGACCACCAACATAACAATAATTACAACAAACTAAATGATGTGCAAACATGTGATGTTTGCTAAAAGGAGTTGTCAAAATTTGTAAGAAACGTGATTCATTATGACATGCTTCTTAACACCTCTATAAAAAATATTAAACTATTCACAAAAAACAACCTAACCTATCACAAAAACACAGGTTAGGGCCATAAAAAAAGAGACAAAAAATAAGGATTCACGCATGCGCGGTAATTTTGGTTTGACAGTGACAGTTTCAAAAATTCCTAGTAAAAATTCAAAACGGGAATTTCTGGTTTTTCTTATTGGAATATGCATCTAGCTTAACAAATCAGAATACCTTTATGTTAATGCTTGCGTTATACGTTTTTTTTAAAAAAGCGATTTAGATGTTGACATTTAATCATTTATGAATTTGACAGAATTTGACATTTTTCATATACGGTCAAGACATTGGAACTATTATTTCTTTTTCTAACTTTTTAATATTTAAGTAATTAATTTACGTGTAATATACGAACTAGTTTTGGAGAAAGTTTTCTCACTTTTTTTTCTCTTTTAAGTTAAGTTTTTATTTTAAAATTTGAAATAATAAAAAACGCCCTTTTGATGATCTATTCCAAACACTAATGGTGTTATTATTACTCTTTTTACCCCTTTAAATAATGGACAGAAAATGTAAAGTTGTAAGCTTCCATAACCTCAATCATACGCCCAACCAAAGTGAGATCTAATACAATCGGCTCCAATTAAAAAAATACTTACTAATCCTTGTTCAATGAAGTGCTGATAAGAAAAACCAGTCATCGCAGTCACATCATTTGATAAAGCGTGTGTGGAATTAGGTGACCGAAAAGTTCGCAAAAAGAGACAATATGCGGCTCATTATTTTGGAGTCTTCGAGTTCAGTCGCAGAATGGGCCGCGAAATACGTCATGAAACGAATAAACGACTTCAATCCAGGTCCCGACCGATATTTCGTTCTTGGATTACCAACAGGTAATTTTCCATTAAAGTCTGTCCTCAATTTAATACATAAATCCACTGATTAGGAAGCACTCCATATGGAATGTACCAAAAACTGATCGAGTTTTACAATGCCGGAAAAGTCTCTTTCAAATATGTGAAAACATTCAACATGGATGAATATGTAAATCTGCCTAGAGACCACCCTGAAAGTTACCATTACTACATGTGGAATAACTTTTTCAAACACATAGACATTGACCCCCAAAACGCGCATATACTCGACGGTAACGCTTCTGATTTAGTGGACGAATGCAACAATTATGAGAAAAAGATTTCTGAGGCTGGAGGCGTGGAATTGTTCATTGGGGGAATTGGTCCCGATGGCCACATTGCGTTTAATGAGCCAGGGTCGTCACTTGTGTCACGTACAAGGGTTAAGACTCTAGCTCAGGATACCCTAGAGGCCAACGCACGCTTTTTTGACAATGACATTAGTAAAGTGCCTAAACAAGCTTTGACTGTAGGAGTTGGAACTGTGATGGATGCAAAAGAAGTTGTCTAAAATTAACTATTTGGCTTATTTTATTTCCTTGGTTATTTTTAGGTCATGATTTTGATCACTGGAACACATAAGGCTTTTGCGTTGTACAAAGCAATTGAAGAAGGGGTTAATCATATGTGGACCGTTTCTGCTTTTCAACAGCATCCTCATACTTTAATGATTTGTGATGAGGATGCGACTTTAGAATTGAGAGTCAAAACTGTTAAATACTTTAAGGTAATTCAGGGTTTTACTTTGGAACGCTTATTGTCATTAACATTTGTGGTTGCGGTGTTGGTTTTGTTCAGTTTTTTTGTTTGTTTATAACATTTTGTCTTTAAATACAGGCCCTGAGCAATGTGCATCATAAACTTATTGAAGGGGATGTCTCTCTTGACAAAATGAGGACAATCCATTAACTTGGATTTTTCTCTAAATAAGAGGCCTTAAGGTAATTTTTCTTGTAAACGTTCTAAAAGCATTCTTGAGCTGTTTCACTAAAATATTATGATAGTTGATTTTTTTAATTATTTCAACTAAAAATTTTGTTTCAGAGTTTATCAACAGTACATAATCAGTTGGTGGAAGGATGATAAAAAAACTTTATTTTATATTAGTACTCTTACACATGCATCCTATATCTCGGGATTTTTCTATTGCCGTTCTGTCACTCTTCACTTTTTTTCTGTAGAAAATAATGAACTTTCTTTGGCTCTAAATTTGTCAGTAGGGTTCAGTTGTAACACAAATTCATCTTTTAAAAAACGCAGTTGTGACTTGACAGTGTGGCAATAGAGAGATCAACAGAAAAGTATAATTAATACATGTGTTTTTGCTATTATTTTATGAAATAAATAATAAAACTTGCTGGATTTTTGTCGTTATTAAAACTAATCCTTAAAAAAATTAGATTGACAACACTGAATTAATGTATGTACGGGTATAGCATATTTATAATACGAATATTATTTTTTCCTACAATTATCTCATCCAAATTTATGTCGATTCAAATTTATGTAACTCGGTTTAATTCTAAGTAATTCTGAATAGTCAAAAAAAAACATTTGTTTAAAACAACATAACATTATTTTCCCTGCACGTAAACAATTAAAAAAAAACAACTAAAAAGTTGAAAAAAAAAACATTCTTAAGGCTACTAACTACTAACTCGTAAAAAGTTACAGGAGATGAACTTTAGTTTTATTTAAGGAAATATTGAAAAAAATCAAAAGCAAAACAACCAGGAATGATGGCTATAATTGCATATACGTTGGAATAAGAAACATTTTTTTTGAACTTACAGTAGGTAGGTAATAATCTTTTCCAAATCAGAATAAAAAAGAACTACAAAGTGATCCACAATAACTGAATATGTTGGCAATCCTGACCCTAATTTTTAAAGCTTACCATTAGATCAGTCTTTCTGGATCACTTCGTATAAATTAAGAATTATAATAAAATAATGACTCACGATTTATTCTTTAGTGCTCCACTTTTTATTAAATTGTTGCAAAAATGCATCTTTAAGTACTTAATCCAAAAATATTCCGAACTAATTGTAACATTTAATTTTCGATAATTATACAAAAAACATTAATTTAAACAAACACAAAGTTCTGTTGACTGTTTTATGCAGAAGTACGTCAATTCCGAACCAATTATAGCTGTTAAAAGTCACAAGATTTGCGAGAAAATTTCCTCTCACAGGTCATCAGGTCGATCTGACATAATTTGATAATGTTGCTCTTCCTTAAAGTGTTAAATGTTTTTGTTCTATCTGTTGACAAAGTCAATCATCAATAATACCAATAAGATTTAAAGATCAATTGAATTTTTACTCTTCAAATAATCCATTAACGCAAACTATCAGAAAATTTTAACAATTCAATTCTGACAAAATATTAAATAATAAATATACAGGTTGACAATTCGACATGTATCTAGAGTCTAATAATCAATTTCTAAAATTAATAGCTATCTCCAAGGTTAGATAAACGAAAATATTATTGATTTTTAACTCGACCACATGCGTCATCTAGCAGAAAAATACCGAAGAACTGCGTTATGCAATTGCTCGTTTCAGTTACAAAAAATAACCCAAAGTGTTGAAAATTTAGGACAAACTAAATATTTTTATACTGATATGGACAATACGGAAATAAAAACGTCAAAAACCGATAAATTTTGATTATTTATAGCGTTTATACGTAAACATCGATGCAAAATGTGAGTTAAGTGTCACGAAGAGGTCTGAAGAGGTCATGACGTCATTATATTAAGGGTCACTGGTTTATACATGGTCAGCAGTAACAACAAGGTCCGTACTAAGATATTTTTAGAGGGTTTTTATGCCCCCACATGTATGCAAAGGTACGCAGTCCACATTTAGAACAATGCTTTTATCAGTGAATCATCTACTTTGTTAGCTACTTTAGACAATGAGATAATATCGGTTATATCTGATTCTAGTCAAGGGGCAGTAAGAGAGCAACTCGAAACTCCAACATTTGGGCTATAATAATTTTCCACGACTAAAAATACAGGCTGCGCCAGAACTCGAGCCCCAGAAAAAAATGTCATGTAAAGTAAGATACCAAGAACATGGAAAAAATCTTGAAAAAATCTATCTATAAAAATTTCGAAGTTATTATGAGAGTTTAAATTTTGCACTTTCACTCTATTTATTTTTGTTGAAAAAATAATTTTCCAAGTTTTTTGGTACAGCCTATTAGAAAAGGAAGTTGTATCTAAAATTGTAACTTTGTTTAATGTTATTTGTGGCTTTTATTGGCAAAATTTTTGTACCTTCACTAAATAATTATAAAAAAAACATATACAAGATTATTAGTATTATTAGACATAAAAAAATGTCAAATGTTAAAGAATAAATGTCAAAATTTTTTGACAGAATTTTTTAAAGATTTTATCCATATTCCTGGTATCTTACCTTAAAGTTGGAGACAAAATACTTTGGTCGTCAATGAGTGACATTAAATTGTAAAGCATGCTTTAGGACTGTTAACCTTATTTTTAGCTACTGTCAATCATAGTTGACAAGTTGTACATATTTTTGATAGGAAAATACAATAGCTGTCATTAATTTGAAATTGTCATTCATTTTAACGTTAAAGCTTGAATTACATTAAAGTGTCAGAAAAGTGACGACCAAAGTATTTTGTCTCCAACTGTACATGGCATTTTTCCCTGGGGTGCGAGTTCTGGCGTACCCTGTATAGTTATTAACCTCATACATATACATAGTACCACAATAATCAATACACAATTTGCTTTTTTCAGTATAAATAAAATTTAAGAGTGATCTATGACTTAACTTTGAATACTGACGCAATTTTTTACGAAAAAATTATCGTGACGAAAAAATTGAATTAAAAAAAGTTTTTGGCCAAAGATTTAACAAATCTTTTTTCTAATACCTAATTTCTAGTAAGTTGGTATTATTTATAGTAAAAACACAAAAAATGATTTATACAAACTAGAACACTAGTTCAAAAATTGTTAAGAGTACGTTCCTGCCCTCTGATGCAAATGCTAATTACAAAAAATAAAAACCCCACAATTAATGAATTGAGATATTAATTTTTTACGGCTTGTGGAGCAATGTTAGGAAAATTATTGAATTATATCAGTTACAAAAATTTCCGAAATCCGTTACTAAAAAAATAAATATTGTTAATTATTACATAATTAATTTAAAAAATATAAACATAAACGTTTCAATTTATTTGACGATTATTGCTCAGTCATGCGGTGACAGCTCCATTAATTTTTTTTTTCTGTTATTATCGCAGATAATTGCTTCTTAGGGGCAATTAATGCATTCAGTGCTCCTAATGGGCCCCAGTTACCATCCCGAGATAAGATTTTCTAAGTTCATTATCTGATAAATTAAAGTTTTTACTTGATTTTCGCTCTTGGTATTCTCAGTGAATTTATATTTTTTTCTATTTATTTTTCTATTATATATAATAAATTGACATTATTTTACTAAAGACAGACAATTAAAATAAGTAATTCCTTATTGATATACTTTTCAACTGAAATTAATTAATGGTTTTATCTTTACAAAAAAGAATTTGTGATTTTTTGCAATATTTGTGTATTTTTGTGTAATCTAATACAAAAAATATATCTTTATGTTTGTTTAATTAACAACTAGACAAAAAATTTATAAATCACGTTGACAAAAAAAAACGGATATCAAAATCTATGCAACAAAAATGTGAAATACTATAATTTATAGTTAAAAAGGTTAAACATAGATCAGATTTTTTTACGTGAAGCAACATTTCTCGTAAACAAATCAGAATTTAGTCAAAACAATTCTTAAATTTGGAACAATTGTATAATCCAATATTGAGACCACAATTAACACTTGAAACTTAATTGAAAAAAATTGAAAATAGAATTTTATCTGCAAGAATTAATGTTATTTCAGATGTTCTGGTTGTCTGAAGGACAGGAGAATGTCAAAAACTCGAGTACAAAGTACAGTTGATTGACATCAGCACGTACACATAATTTGCAGAAATTAAGTAAATTAGCAAAATTTTTTCCTTAAAAAAAATTGGAGTAAACATTTCGTCAGTTAACTACCTATGACTGAATTATGGAAACACATCTGTAATTGAATCTGAACATTGGACTACCGCATAAAAAATAATAAAAACAGTAGGTAAATTATTCTCAATTATAAAATAATTAACACAATTTGTCGTGGATTCGTAATCCAAAACTCTTTTGTTTGAATAAATTAACAAAAGGGAAAAACAGGTAAATTAGGAAATAAAACAAGGCTCATTTTGGTGTATTAGGGAGTGCATATCAAGTAGTGATAAGGATAATATCACCGACATATTTTTTTTCCTACCCAAACATTTTTTTTAACTTTTTAGAATCTTTGCAGCATTAGCTTTACAAGATACCACAATCAGGCAAAGATTACACAATGTGATCATAAAGTAAAATTTCACATAGTAAATTATGTAATTATATTAATTAACTCATGCTGTCCAAAAACCGCCAAAATAATTGTTTTGTTATTTTATTCTACAAAATAGTTGTGAATTTTATGCAGAACTATAACATTTTTGGCAGTTTCATTTTATTTTGTATCTACAACATTAAGCTTTATCAGTTATCAATTATTATACATCACTTGGTAAGTTAATTAATGACATATATGAAGGGGAAATCATTATATGGTTTTTGGGGGTGACTAAAATAGTCTGGCAATACCTCAGTTACGGATCTGCGCAACCCACTAATTTGTACAAGATAATTTTTCCCAACAGATATGTGAATTTAGGACCACAGAAGCGATGATGAAGAAAACAGTGGAGATTAACAAAGAAAACCACCCGGATGGGAATATTTCGTTGCTTTGTAAAGCATGTGACTTTAGACTGTTCGTACAAAGAAATAAAGGAAAAATACATAATTAATTAGTGAAATTCCTTTGAAAAATCCCAGATTAAATCAAAACTTTCAGACAAACAGTCTGGCAAAACAACACAGAGCAAACGGAAACGTAGTTGTGTGGAAATTGAATAAACACAACACCCTCGCATGATTATCAAAACTTTTCCTTCCTAACAACTGAACTTCTAACTACCAGGGGTCAACTTTTTATCTTTAACATTTTTACGATAAATGATTGATGAAAGTTTGCAGATGTTAAATTGTTATTCATTGTGATACAGTTTTCTTTGAATTTTTGCCCTTGGCACAAAATTGCTCTACTTCCACACACCATTCATTGCTATCCTCAATAGTAAACAACTTCCTTCAATCATCCAATAAAAATCGAATCACCTATTGGAGTTCATTCACTCCTTTCATTCATTCTTCGTCCAAACCCCCAAATTAGCCAATCGATAAGTCCCAAATTCAACTGAATTTCCAGCATGTTCCTTACAGTTTTCATTGCGTACCACACCACTTATTCCAACCAATCACGAGCGTCTCTTTGACGTCACCTCCCCACTATTTTGAACCACGTTATCGAGTTTATTATTATCCGCAGATTCTCCAAAGAATTTCATTGCTCTCTTGAACAGTAACAAGACAGTGCACACACGTGAGACAAGTGACAAAGCGCGTGATAACGAATTAGTGAGATTTTTATGTGATAATTTGTGATAGAATATGAATCTTTCGTTTGCTGGTTGCGGATTCCTCGGCATTTACCACGTCGGAGTGGCATGTTGTTTTCGCAAATATGCCCCCCATTTACTGCTAAACAAAATATCCGGGGCCTCCGCGGGGGCCATCGCCGCCTGCTGTCTCCTCCTAGACCTACCATTAGGTAATTTTAAGCATTTGAACATTCCAAATTTTAATGTTATGCAACAACAGGTGATGCATTAAAACAATTTTGTTGTTAACAACAACACGACCTTTATTCTTTGTTGCCACATTTCGCACGTGTTGTTTATCTCCTCATTCATTTCCTTCGAATTTCTCTATAATACGCAGTTTGATAACAAACAATAATATTGTTTCAGCACTGATAATCCACCGCTTCAGTAAACATGTTTAAATTAGCAAAAATCGCGATAAATTAGTAAAATCGTTCAAATTCGATTTTTATTTTATTTACAGTTCTCGAAATAAATGGTGTCAATAATATTTGTTCGATTTATCTCGCCGTAATCATTAAATATAAATATGAATCAGCTTTTAGAAATCTATTGTTTGTTACAATCTTAAAAATGGGGAGTTATGTATAAATTACCACAAAAACAAACACGAATTACAAATAATTATTTAATAAAAAAAGTTATTGAACTGCGATGCGATTACAATGTGTGTTTAAACTTGTGTGAAAATAAACAAGAAATTTTCAGGTGAAACGACCAGTGATGTGCTTCGGGTGGCAACAGAGGCTCGAAGACGGTCTTTGGGTCCGTTCAACCCCTCGTTCAACATACACAATCTCCTGTTGGAAGGATTAGAAAAATTCCTCCCTGACGATGCTCATATCCGTGTCAGTGGTAAACTTCACATTTCACTGACACGTGTCCACGATGGAAAAAATGTCATTGTTTCGCAATTCGATAGTCGGGAAGAACTCATCCAGGCCCTTCTTGCCTCCGCGTTCATTCCGATTTTTTCCGGAATTATTCCACCGAAATTCAAGGGGGTGCGATACATGGATGGGGGGTACAGCGATAATTTACCGACCCTTGATGAAAACACTATTACCGTTAGTCCCTTTTGTGGGGAAAGTGATATCTGTCCCAGAGATGATAGTTCACAGTTGTTTCATGTAGGTTTTCAGCATTGCTGGTCAATTGGGGGATTAATTTTTGTTTGTTTTTAGATTAACATAGCTAATACTAGTATAGAGTTGTCGAAACACAATATTTATAGAATTATGCGGATTTTGTTTCCGCCCAAACCGGAAGTTTTGTCAAATATGTGCAAACAGGGATTTGACGATGCTCTCAGATTTTTGCACAGGAATAATCTTATCAATTGCACGAGGTGTTTGGCCGTTCAGTCCACTTTTGTCGTCTCGGATACCTTGGAGGAGAACTTGGAGTACGACCCTCAGTGCAAGGAGTGCAAGCAACACAGACAAGTGAGTTCAGTTCAAAAATTGTTCAGCAGCGTGACCTCTGGACAAAATATTTTGGTGTTAATTATAGAAATTGCCGCTTCAAATTTAGATCTATCAAGTTCATTGCTGATAATTCGAGCAGTAGTAGGTGGTTACAGTTAATTATCAAATTAATGAAACATAATAATTCCGTTTAGCAATTAATAACGATCAATTTAGATAATTATTGAGAAATTGGCCAGACTAATTAATAAAAAATTCCTTTGACTTGTAGATTATTTAGTCTAGTCTAGATAGCAACTAAATTCCTATTTTTTTTTTCAGGAAGCGCTTGTCTCCAACATGCCCGACACCGTTTTGAGTATATTCCAAGAGGCGATAGATTCGGCCAACAACGGTTTACTTAATTGGGTGTTCAAACACCGGGGCATGAAACTGTTATCCGTTCTTAGTCTTCCATATACATTGCCTGCGGACATGGTGTATGCCACATTTACCAAGTAAGTGTCCCATTCGCCCATAATTTCTAACCCACAAATCCATGGGGCATGATAACATCACTAACACTTACAGATTAGGCGTAATTCCCGCTGTTAAAAAGGCCCCCATGGTAATCTCTCGAACTGTAACAGATTATAATTTTATGAGTGCCGTTGGTAGCCATTTTGAGACTAGGTCTTTCCGGTTTCGTAGCTTGAGGAATCCTATGATCGAAGCTAATGCCTTAATGCCTTGTTCTGCATGTTCTCATTTAAATAACGAAAAGAGGTGATTACTAATGTTTTGGTCTCGTTACAAATGTCCTGTTTTGTATTCTTCTTATTTATGAAATTGGGACTAATGAATTTTTTTTCAAGGTTAATGGCTGCAGCTCCTCAAGTAGGCAACACAGTCTGGGACGTTAGTAAATATTTCATGGATCAACTATCACATATTCTCAATAGAGTCAATAAAAAACGGGAACAACTCAGTGCGAAAATTATTTGCCAATTGGACGTAACTGAATATGGAGGAAGTAAGTATTTAGGGTTTTGTCAAACTTTGTACTAATTTGTTTTTTAGGTGATGTTGAAGCTTGTCAGGATGCATTGTCCACTAAAAATAAAATGAACTTGAACTTTACTCTCAACATAGATGATAGGTAAGTGTTTTTCAAGTACACGCAATAATTATAAAGTCTAAAGTCCGGTACTAAACAATGAAACTTATAATTTACCTTTTTTTTAATTTCAGCGATCTACCTTTGGCTCAAAGTCCAGGCCGCAAATTTACCACGACTAAAATCCTCCAAAGAAAACCTAGTCTTACAATAAATAGAACCGATACCGGAGATGACGACACTTTCGAGCACATTTTGCAAGTAACGTCCCATCATGAAACCATCATGGCTTACTATTATTTGGATGAAAATAATAAAGTTAAAGTCACGGAAATTTTCGACGTTACTGAAAGCGATTCCCCAATCGTGCAAACCTCGCATGAGAAAGAATTCAATAAAGGTTTGGAGTTTGATGATGATTGGGATGAATCTACTTGGACCACCACTCACGCTCTCGATGATCGTAAGTTGACAAATAAAGACCTAGAGACATATATTTAAGGCCATTTTTCATAGACATGTATCTAGACGAGAGGAGGAAGAGTTTGGCTGAAATGTCCGAGTATTCGCTTGAAGATCTTTTGGATAGAGACACCTCGAACTTGTTTTCCGACCCAGAAAGTGAGTGGACTGGAACTTACAAAATTGAAGAACCGGAAGATGAAGATGTGATACCAACAGCCGATCTGCGACCGGAATCAGACCAACCAAGTTATTTAAGGACCACTACGATACCCTCTTTTACATTCCACGAAGAGTCATAAGTTATTATTAATCTTTGAGTTAGGTATATTAAAAATCGTCATTTTGGTATAACCAAAAATGTGATATTGTATAAAGAAATGATATTTATTAAGTATTATATGACCATATTACGACTATTTATAATAACTTATGATAGTTTTTAGTTGTATAAAAAGTGTAAGTATTGTTATTAGTTAAGGTAATCTTTTATATTGTTCAGAATAAAAACGGTTGTACATCTGTGTTTGTTTGTTTACCCCAATCCCTTCTTATCTAATGACCTAAGATTTGCAACAGCGGCCAAAAAGCGCACCGAAACATTTCTCGTAAAACAACGTCATTCGACATGCAAATAATAAAAATTAAAGCTTTGATGTTGCCGAAGCTGTGTGATTAAACTAGAATATTAGACTTTGCATTATTGAACCTACATTACACGTTCCAAGGTTGCATATTTATTAACCCTTTGACCAGGTGATAGATTGAGATAAGATTGTAGCCTATTGCATTGTTCAGAACATTGATTCCGTAATTAAGCTGTTAAAGCGTTTTGCATTTCTTGTAGAATGTGAACAAAATTGTGTATGTAACTGAAATACATGACTATTTTTTTTATTAATTTTGATTTTAAATTTTTTACTTCTTATTATAGGCAACCAATTACACTTTACTTAGTTTTTTTTTTTTTAGTTATTTTCGCTTCCCTATATTGCCAACCCGTGAGTCAAGTAACCTTTTTATCTACGAGTGGTTTGTTGTTTTCATAAAAAAAATTCCTCGTTCCTTTTTAGCTTCGATTTAATAAATGTAATTTACTATAATTGTTGTTTGTAAATACAAAAATGTCATCGATTTTGCTGTCCCTTCCGGAAATTTTTGCGTCGTACAAAAACTGGGTGAGCCAAAACCCCCAATTTGCCAGTGACTGTGAGACTTCAGCAAAGTGGATTTCTTATTTTATTGCCGGTGAGTCCCAAAACTCGCTTGTTAAATAATTACCTTGACTTTCAGGTAAAATCAACAGCTCTCATGTCTTGTCAGAGCTGGTGTACTGTTTGTCAAATCTGTTAGTTTTGTTAAATGACAGGATCATAAACAATGTTAGGCAACTGGAATTGCCAAGTTCTGGGGACACTTTAAAATTATGGTTGACGGTTGTGGAATATTGCGAGGTTTTGTTTGAATTATCAGCCCAAAAAATTTGGGGTAATGTGGGAAAATGGCTGATTGTTGTAGGAGTGCAAGTTTTCAAGTAGGTGATGAGAGTAAGCCATTACGTATTCAATTGTTTTTCATTTGACAGGTGTATAGCAAGGTTAATTCTTGTGTACAATCATAAAGAAAATATAATACAGACGCCTCCAATTCCATTGTTGGATAGAGGAAAGATACCGAAAGATGCTGTAAATTGCAGTTCGGTGAGAGAAATAGCTCAAGCGCAAATAAATTCTGCTACTTTTACCCTGAAAGAGTCAGGACGAGTGATAAGAAAAATTGATGCTTCACCTCCGATTAGTTTAAGGACGTGGAAGCCCCTAAAGGCACAAGAAACGTGTGATAATGAACAGACAATTGAACAAGCTTTGGCTGGAAGACAGCTCATTGCTGAAACTATTTATATAGTTAAACCCATGGTCCATTTAGCCTCACTGGCGTGTTTTGGAAATAATTCATGGAAGCCATGGATCATATCTCTTACAATGGACATAACTAGGTAAAACATGTAATTTTTTACAAAACATGTGTGATTAATGTATTCTTACAGTTTGCAGTTGTATAAATCATGTAAAGGAACAAAGAGCAATTACTTGACCCCTAAACAGAAATTACAATTATCTAAAAGGACAATTATTCTAGTTATGTATCTATTAAGATCGCCTTTTTATGATAAGTATAGCAAAGATAAGGTAAATGCGTTGTTAATTTCGTTGAGTAGAAATGTGCCTTTGGCAAAATTAATTTGTCAACCATTGGCACAGTATTTGCCATTCTGGCAAAGCAATTATTTCTACATGTGGTCCACTTAAGGATATGGTGATAAGTCTAAAACCAGGGTTATTAAAACAATTGGTACAGTCACAGAGATGGTATATTTTTACAAAGTACTTGGTTTCTTGTGTTTTATAATAAAGTTGAGAAAAAATTTATTTTGTTTTTGTGAACTGCCTTAAAAAGCTTACTACTTTATTGTGAGTTTTGTGACCATAAAACTTTTCAAGATTGCACCATAGGATTGTTCATAACAAATTTTCTTTTGATTTTTTATTGTTACAGGTCCTCTTCTATTAAATTATAAAGATAATAAATCGATTTTTGTGTTGGGTGGGTCACTATATTTTGTATTTAAATTATTTTTTGACGCATTTTTCCGCATTCTGACATTTTTGTCATCGAATTTTTTTATTTAACTTTGTAACAACAATGTTTTCTATAAACCGCAACTCCTATCTACACACCAGAAGCAGTTCTGTAAATCTCCGAATTATAAACAGATGTGTTGACTTAGGTATTAAATATTTGTGTGCATTCCCGCCGATATTAATAATTTCCAGCAAGAAGCCAGCCCACCCTTCATGACTCCTCCTATTTTGAGCCCCCCTGGTATCGCTTGACTTCTGAACAACCTGATATTCCTTGCGAGTTTGTTGACCCCACCAGAAGACCAGTCGCATTTGGAAATTGGGCTTTGCCTAAACTCGTACTTTTTATCTCACTTTTAATATAAATTTAACATTTTTCTATTCCTAGAGACGTGAGTTGCACCACGAAGAGGAATTAATCGTAATTCAAGCTCTTCGAAGCATTAGCGATTTAATACACGACCCGGAAAAGGCCTACGAAGCTATCAGGCTCCAGATTCCGGATAGGTTTAAATAAAATAGTAAATTTTGTAGTAATAGAGATTTTGAGCAGATTGTGTGATAAACTCCTTGATCCTCTACCTCCCGTCCGTGAAAACGCAGCTTTGATTCTATCCATCTTGGCAGAATTTGCTGAGGGAAAAGAAGCAATTTTACGAAATAACTCGCTGCTAGAAAATTTATATTTAGGTCTGGGTGACGGACAAATGTCGGTGCGGCTAAAAGTCGCTGCGTGTTTACGAAATATTGCCACCCTCTGGACGAGTAAACGACGAATTTTTTGTGTGTGAAAGTTATGAATGAAATTTCAGCCGCCGATGTTTTGGTTGACTCCGGGCTCATACAAGCCCTTCTTGAAATAATTGATAAAGAAGAAGACCGCGACATTGTTCTAATCCACTTAGAAACACTCAAATATTTGATGTACGAATGCGGCAAATGTGTTGCTTTGAAAAATAACGGTTTCCGAATTTTCGTAAGTAACACAGAGGTAAAAATATCACCTAATTGTTTGATAAATAAAGAGCAAATATCTGGATCATGAATCACCGGCAATTGTTTGCAAAGCGCTTGATTGCCTTTCGATTTTAACCTCGACAAAGAAAGGCAAAAAGCTCGCACTTGAGAAGAAATTATTGAAAACGTTGAATCGACTCTTACACTACGGAGTACATAGTGAAGTTTTTCCACCAATTTTTTTTGATACCAAATTGTAGGACAACGATATATGCACAAGTGCAGCTTCTGTCGTCATGTTTTGCACGGTTAAAACAAGAGCAAAGCATGCAGCTGCTGAAATTAAACCTCTTCCAAAACGCTTAGTTAAACTCGCCACAAACCCGCTTAATCCCACTTTGCAAATGTTCTGCTTGAAGGTGAGAAAAAATTTTTTGGTCTCATTTTAAAATGCGCAAATTCAGGCCTTGACAAATATTTGCGAACATCCTGACATTAGGAAAGAAATGCGTGAGAAATATTACGATGCTCTGGCAAATTTGCAAGTTGGGAGTAATGAAGCGTACAAAAAGATTCTTCTGCAAATTGTCGGATGGGTTCCACACAAATGGACGACTTAAAATCCAAGATGATTTAGAAAATGAAATAAATTTTTGTTTAAAAGCTATTTAATAATTTTTAACGCCATTTAATTGTTCCGATACCTATTTTTATTTTTTTATACATTATTTATTTACTTCGAACCACAAATTCTGGTATCCAGTTTACCTTGTTTACAAGTACCGTTGATAAAATTGCTGATAAACAAGTGTTTACATATCCAGAGCCAATAACAACATATTTTTTTCTCAAATCAATATTAAAACAAAATGTCAATTTATGTGTGAAATAAACTAAGGCATCTTGATAAAAAAATAAAAGTAAATGTTTTTTACTCAAATAACAAGTCTGAAGGAAAGTTTCGAATGATTTGCGCGTTACTCTAGCAAGCATTAAAATAAACAAAATTCGACCCCTCTTCGACGTGGGGGCCATTGGGGTCTATTTATAGTCAGATTATATTTACAGGCACTTATCTTGTTAAAAAAAATTAACCAGTGCAAAGAATAATGGAAATAATCGCTCGGAAATGGCATAAAAATAGCTTCCCTTCCCGGTCTGTAATTTCTGATTAACAGGAAAATGGGCATTTATTTAAACAATTGCAAATTGTTATAATAAAGTGTAATCTTTAATCGTAATTCGTATAAAAAAAGCTGAGCATGCGTGTGCTCGTCCGACATCGGCAACACATTTACATTTTACTGCAGTCTGCGAGTCCTGCTAGTATTTTACCGACTACCCGAGTTGTAAACAAGTACTGAAACAAACAGCTGATTTTGACAGTGGTATTATTAGGATGAAGACGAAGGATTTTAAATAAACACAGCGCTTTCATTGTAAAAAGTGAATCGTAGTTTCATTCATAAAAGTTTCATTTAATTAGTTTTAACGTTATAAATAATGAGTGCCGTTGCACAAGTGGTAAGTTGAACGTTTGTTTACAATAAAAAAATTAAAGACGAATTTTGTGCGGTTTGAATGAATTAGATTAATTTTTAGTCACGTTATTTATTTCAACGTACTTGGGGTATTAATAAACGGTTTATATTTGTAAATAATCAATAGATTCATAATTTCAGTCATTGATTGACTGCCTGTTTGTCACAAGCCGGCCACTCAACTTAGCTATTTCCTAAAAAAGATTTTTATGTAAATCGATTAGAAATATTGCCTTGGAAGGGTCTGTGGTCGATAAATTAGATTAGATACTTGACTTCAGAATAAAAGAAATTGCAACTGTATTTTTTTTCTTAATAATAATCCGTTATTAACTATTAAAAGAAAAGAAAATTATAAGATTTTTGACCTTGCACGATATCGCTAATTATAGTAATTAATTAATTTGTGTGGTTTGGTATGGAATTTTTGCAGGTGCTGGTGAACCACCTGCGAATTAAAAATTGTAACACGTATTAAATTGTTTACAACAATCAATCATATAGTTATCACAATGACTAAAAAATAAACGACTTGAACTTGAATTTATCTGTTTTGTGACAAAAACAAGTTAATGTGTGTTTTACAAATTGGCTTTGTTTGATTTTAAATCGTTGTATTAATTAATTTACAGTCTACAGTTTACGCTTGTCTTTGCGCTTGATAATTACTGAGTATAATTAAAAAATATTTATTTAATGAGTTTTTTTCGCAATTGCGCTGAAAATAAATGTTTGCGTTTCTGGTTTACGGTCTGTAGTTGACAATTTTCTGTAATGATGGATTATTATATTGAATAACAGTGTAAAGGTTGCTTGTGTTATCATTATGCAACAATTTAATATTGCCCTAGTTTAAAGTACATTCAATATTTCTCACGTCGATTTCAACCAAAATTTAGTTAAATTGTAAATTGCATTATTAAATTCTTTTACTTTATGTTTGAGAAAAAAATAGAGCACCTTTAAATTATTTTAGACAAGTTTCGGCACATTTAACCTTGACATCACGTACAGTTGAAACAGATAGTTCAAAAGCCAAAACAACACGTAGTTCATTGTAACAAAACTTTGCTGAATCACTTTGTTTCGAATTTTTGCCCTGACCTTAAAAAATCTTGTTCCCCTAAGACAATCCGTTACGCAGTTTATTGTGTGTGCTCTATATGACTCAAATATTTATCATTGTTAAATGCAAACAACGAAAATTAAACTCGAATTGTGATAACAATAATACTTACTTTTTTCAGGTGAAGAGTGTGGGTCCCAAACTGGTTCCATTTTTCAAGACGGTCACCATTTACTTTGTTGTATTCTTGCCATACAATCTACCGTCAGTTTTATCAACGATTTTAAAATGTTTACCAATTTTAAGTTTAATGCTTTTTGTTTTACTCCATGGCATGAGTTTAGGTGATGAGTAAGTCGAGTAAGTAATCCATTGGTTCCTTGGTCTATTTCCTCGTCCTAGATACAGATACTCGAGGAGAATTCTAGTCGGCTTAATTTTCTGTTGTTTGGGAGATGCATTTTTGATATGGCCTGGATATTTCGAAGTCGGAATGTTAGCCTTTGCCATAGGGCACATAAACTATATTCTCGCATTCGGTTTTAAACCATTTAATTTTAAATTAGGGGCATGTTTATATGCTATTAATGTAATGGGTATGTTAACAATGTTTTTTATTAAAAACTTTCTCCGATTGTTTCAATTGTAGGTCTAGCGTATTTAATGTCAGGTTTACACGGTATTCTTGTTCCTGGTGTAACTATTTACACGTTTATTTTGACAACGATGATGTGGAGGGCTATTGCTCGAGTCCAGTTTTTCGAGGTAAAAATATGAAAACGAAGTCAACTTTTCCAATGATTTTTTCAGGATTTGTGGACATGGAGCAAGTTGTGTTCGTGTGTTGGAGGAGTTCTTTTCGTACTTTCCGATCTCATACTCGGTTTAGATCGGTTCAAATTTTCAGTTGATCATTCACAGGTAACTACAATTACCATTTAATTTCCAGAATACTAATTATTTTTTAGGCTCTTGTTATGTCGACTTATTATGCAGCTCAGTTGGGTATTGCTTTAAGTGTCGTAGATGCCAAATCTCAAGCGACCGCGCGGTCACATAAAGTAAAATAACTAAATTCATGTCTAGTATTCACTTGTTTGTGTTTGTGTTCAGACTTTAAGAGTCTTCCATGAAAAACAGATTTTTTTAAGTCAGAGGTTGGATTTTTTGGTGCACATAAATAACAAGCCTACAACTCAATTCCTGACTTTTTGTGATAATTATCCGTTCATAAGTAAGACTGTGTCAAAACAAAAAACAGTTTCCTAACTTTGTAATTCTACGTCGTTCTTTTTTGAGTTTGTTTAAGTTTTTACTTTGACTGACTTCCTGTTACCTGTTTCTGACAAAATTGGGGAAATAAGTTCCCGAAGATGAGTATTAGGTAAACCCCACCAAATAAAGCTCACTTTTTTAGTCTTCCTTTAATTTTATTTCAATAGGCTGCACACAGTATCTGTGATTTTAAATATAATCTTGTTTTTAGATGTTGGATAGAAAGTATGTATCATAATACTTAAAATACATAATAAAATATAAATATAACACTTAAATACATTTTATAATAAAACATTGTACTTTACCCAACATTGTAGGTAAGTTTGCAGATAGCACTAGGGCCGAATTTTTTTTACTAATCTAGTTACGTGTAAAAGGGCCTTTTTATTAAGGTACTGGTTTTGACAATTATATCGCCCAATTAATACTTGATTTAATTTTCTCTAATAAAACGTCGCCCTTTTTCTTATACATCACATGATATAATGTAAGTACGCAAAACAATTTTTTAAATCTTGCATTTTCACTCCGTCGTATCCCAAAGTGTTACAACTCATTGTTCTTATCTAGAAAAATATGCTTCACCAACTTGACTATTGCGAAACCACAAAAGACACAAAATAAATGAAAACAAAATTGCACTAAGACTAGATTCACACTGTAGTAATAACAAAATCTGTGAAACTTACTGGTAAGAGCATATTGAAAAACTGAAGTGATGTTAAACACGAAAACACGACTTTTATACTTAATAAGGTAACTAGAGCCTAATTAACATATGTGAAACAATTTAAATTAATCATGGTATCAGAAATTTGGTTCTGAACCAGATCTTACTGAGTATTGTGAACACTGTGAACCCCTTGAGATACAATTGAAGTCTTTGGGCACTGGAGAATTACCTTTTTCCAAAAGCACTCCTGCTTCCATTTCGTTCATTTCTTGCGAATTGTTTGAACTGTTGCTTGAATTTCCGCGTTGACGGACCATGTATGGGGTGTTATTGGGTGAGGGGGTCTCGCGTCCCTAAAACACAACCACTGTTGGCAAAACTGAGGCTTGGAAACGGGGGATTGAACGCACCTATCAATCAAATAAAAATCAAACAAACAAGAAATATTTTTTCATTTGTTTAAGAGGTGCTTCGTTGTAATGTTAGTGGTCAAATACTAGCAAAAAACATCAAAAAACAAGTCACGAGTGAATATTAAAATAGTTTTTATTATAAAAATCACATTTGCGAGGAGATAATTAATCACACAGTTGATCACAGCTGTTACGGACATAGCAAAAAACCAAAATTTAATACCCCAATCCGCATATTATTTTTTTGCTCTCACTTTCAAGAGGCTTTTCTCCAACTGAGAAAAAATTAATTATTTTACAGTTTGTTTACGTAATTTTCGTACTTTTTGAATGTCAACTCACTTGTTTGGACGGGCCGCAGCATGTGTTTTGTACGCAGTCGTCACTGTCTGTGGTTTTGGGACAATCAAGAACACAATCTTCGGTTTGGTCGTTATCTGTGATTTCCGGTGCTTGATAATCTATAAATTCCGGTTGGATTGTCGTCGAATGGATGCCTTCGTTGTGGAAGAATTCTTTGACTTTTTCAGCGATTTTCATGTATTCGGATAAATTACGGCACCTGTGGCACACTTGTTTCAAATCGAAACTCAATTATTTGGAAAAATATTACTTAATATGGGCAGAAGCGATGATCCGGTCTCCGGCCAATTGCCACACGTGGAACTCGTGAACTCCTACGACTCCATCAACTTTTGCTAATAATCGTCTTTGAATCGCGTCGACTTGGATATGTGTTGGTACAGTTTGCAATAAAATTAAAGCAGAATCTCGTAACAGTGGCCATACAGAATTCATTATTAACAATACCAGCAATATGCTCAAAGCTGGATCGATATAATTTCTGTATTTCCATGAAGACAACCAAAAGACAATCGCTGATATAATTACAATAACTGAACCTAAAGCATCGGATAAGACGTGCAAAAAAACTCCTCTCATATTCATTTGTCCCGGACTGGAATGCCCATGGTGGGAGGCTTTTTCTGGAGGAGGACTAGGATAACTTTCGTCATTTTCGTTATCGTCAGTCATGGCGAGTTGTGTTAGACGATTTCGACTATGAGCTAAACGACCATGAGAGTGACCATGGCTGCTACCATGTTCTGAAAATCGTCCTTTAGAAACAACCAACGACAAAAATAGTCATACCATGAAACAAAAGCAGTCCTATACAATTAACAAGAAGTCCCAAAACGCCAACTATGACCAACAATTGCGGATCGTGTATAGCTTCACTCTCGATGAACCTCTTGCAAGCTTCCACCGTAATGGAAAAACAAAGAGCTACGAGGAAGACGGCGTTGACGAGAGCACCGAGAACTTCAGCTCTGGCCCAGCCGAACGTATTTTTCGACCATTTCTTCGGAGACATCTGGAAGTTTCCGCGTAAGGAAAAACAGTGACGCTTTTCATTTGTTTTACCTTGACTGATACAAAGGCCACCATCAAGGCAGCCACGTCGCTTAACATGTGAAAACTGTCCGCGACCAAAGCCATCGAATTTGTTATGTAACCTACTACAATTTCGACGAAGAAGAAGGATGTCGTCAGCCCTAACATCGAGAGCAGACGACATTTTTTCCCAGCCCATTTTGGCATTGTGATCTGGAACAAAAAAATCCGAATTCTAATTATTATTTGCTTCGCAAGTTGTTATGCGCATAATGTATTTATTACTTGGTCCTTAAATAGTGATGTCCATAACAATTAATTTAAGAGCGAAATGAAATAACTTGAGCTTAATCACTTTAATGTTCAGAACGAAAATCGGTCAAAAAGAGAAACATTTTTAAATATCTGATTCGTTGAAAAATACGTACATTGTCATTAAGCAGGGATCGTTTAATAAAACCAATGACCACTTTTTAGTTGAAAATCTTTGTTCTCAAAAACCATAAATTACGTGAAGCTCACTTGACATAATAAGATGTTAAGTTTAAAGAACAAAGTAAAAATCTTATCACTTAAAAATTATAGAAATGTATTTTATATTATTTAAAAGCAATAAGTGACGTAATTTTTTTATTTATGCTGTTAAAGTGTTGTTTTAACGCAATTAGTTGGGTGTGTAAAAATTTGCTCATGAATAAAATATTTCAATTGTAATCCTTTTGTTATTTCCCATTGTCGTTGAAGTCCTTATTAATTAGTTTGATTAACTACCTTATCGCAGTTATTTCCATTTGGACATGAAAAACATGATTATTAAACTTTATGGTCAAATTTTGATTTATTTTACAATTTAACCTTTTTTTTTTCAGACAATGCCTTTATAAAACAAATAATTTAATTCTTTCGGCAGATAATTTTTTTTATTTGATGTGAGCGCAAATAGAAATTTTTTGCCCTGAATAAACATTATTTGACAAAAGACTAGACTTAAGTCAATAAAAAATTTCTTGTGCAATTTTTACAATGTGGTTAAATCAGAAACTTACTAGTGACAGTCGGTAAAAAATATTTTTTGGAACAGTTCACAAAACCCATATGACCTCATCAATCAACAATATTGGATTTAAAAAAACAACCACAATACCACAGTTCGATAAAAGCACGACCACTTCCTTTTAATTTCTGTTTACTTTAAGTTGTTTATGTTGTTAGTTTGAAACTAAGCTACAAACACTCATTATTTTATAATCGACTGCTTAGTTTTATCCGTTATGTACAAGTGTGGACCATTAAACACAACCAACATTAACTACCACCTACTTTTGCATCAAATACCAAATTTGGCACAATATGTGCCAAACATTTTTGCACTTCGTGAAGAATTGTTAAAAATTTAGACGTGATTATTGCTTTCACTTGAACTCGGCATATATTCTTTCTAGATTGTAATTTCGATATGAAGAAAGCATAAAACCAAACAAAACATTTAGAAAAATGAGATAATTAGGTGTTTGACCTGCTTATTGATTAAGTTTGCATCACGAAATGCTTATCGGATTTTCTGTGCTGAACTATAATTTCCATTTTGAACTACTTATTTAGCCACTATTTTGTGTTACTGCACACTTATTACAAAGATAAAAATCACAATTAATACATTTTAAACTATTAGATAAGATCGACTGACACGAGTAAATTCAAGATAAAAAAAATGAAATTATGCAATGGTTTGAAGACAGTAAAACTAAAAAAAAATATAGATCTTTTCAACATTGACCGAGTTTGATTTGCATTGAAATCGATTATAACAGCAAGGTAAGTTAATTATTTTAGCAGATTCTACAATGACGAACATCTTAGAAATCGAGTAATGTAATATTTAAATTCTTGCTGCATTATTCATACAGTCTGCTAGTAATTTTGTAAGGTTGCTGCAATATTTCTTATGTAAATGCAGTTGTCGTCAGGTATTTCAATAGATGAATTTTTATCATAAAAAATTGATGCACCATGTTAAATTCTTGCCTTAAACGTAATCTGCAAAGTGGTTCACCTTGGAAAAAAAACAACTACGAAGTTTATGGTATAGGAAATAATTCGATAAATAATTTTCTCAAAACACTGCTTTCATGAAATCAACAATATGTTGTATGTTCGCCGATTATAAGATGAGTAATTCGAAAAGAAACAACATTGAAATCAATTATTAAGTGCCTACCACACTTTGGTTTAATAACAAACAAAGGAGAAAGTTACATTTAAAGATTACAACGCTTATTGCAAAAACTTTCTTTGAGGAAATATTATCTAATGAAAAGTCTACTTTTATTAACAATAATTTCCATATCACATAGTACACAAAACGTAAAATTCACGCCGAAGGTTCACTTCTAACCGGTTACTGCTTGAGTTGTGGTCATAAATCAACCGAGTTTAATCCGCGTTTTGTGCTTTTAAAAAAAAAAGAGATTTTTCTGATGAGTGATGACACAGCATTTTGGAAACTCGGATTTCCAAATTTGGATCTTAAAAAAGTAACAAATCGACTGTCTCAAGTAGCTGTTTTAAAATTTTTCATTATCTTTATTTTTCATAAAAATATAAGTTTACAATAGATAAGTTTAATGACATTGTGGAAATTCAACATAAAATTTGCTTTTGGGTTGGGCTAAAAATTTGCAGACTGTTCCTTTGTGTTCATGGAGGTGAAATAACCTAAACCTTTGTTTCTGGGCTTTAGGGGTTTACGAAATGTTTATAATCGATAGGAAAAGTGGGTTATTGATAAGGTTTTTGTACGTAACTGTTAACAAAGCAGTACCTTTGTATAAACAAAGAATTTAGAAAAAAAACTGCTCTAAATAGAAAATTCTCACCTGTCTTGTTTAAAACTGTCTCGCTTGTATCACCATGTTACTAAAATAAAAAGCATGGGTCAATTTTTGTAGATTTTGTCTCCTGTATAAGCACTTGTAAACACGATATCACAGCATATTTGTTTTAACTTGTAGATTTAAAAGATTTTTGTTAAAACGAAATAAAACATTAATTAAAAGTCTAATTAAAAACACTGTAATGGTTAATGGAAAAGCTGAGCTTGTTAATTATTTAATACATAAGCGTACGTCATACAATTTGACAGAAAGGACACTTCACAACCATAGAATCACTACAACTGAAGAATTCACAGACAATAGATGTTCTCGATTCGCCGGTGGCATTTCAGCCAATGAATGAACGATTTTCCAGTGACGTCAGCAAAAAAGTCGGGAACATAAACGTAAATAATCGACAAATAAACACTAAAAATAAGAGGAATGTAACATTTTTGTAGAAATAATTACTAGACAAGGAAAAAATCGATAACCGTCTTATAGAATTTCTCAATTATTTTATATCGCGCTATCTAGTTCAACTTTTATGTCATTGATAAGTATTTAGTGGTGGGGTTTAAGTTGGCGGCAATGCGAATTTAAATTATAAAAAAAATTATGGCGTTTTAAGAGTTGCTATGTCGATTGAAAAGCTTTATTTTGGCCTTTACTTTTATTTTTGTAAATTTTAATATTCAAATTTATATCTGGATAGTTGAAAAATCAGTGGTTGAAACACCTGTCGAGTGATCAACTGTCAAAATGACATTGACGTAACCTCAAAAAATTGTGTTTTGGATTTGGAAAAGTTATTTTTCCTCTTAGAAAATCCACCATGAGGGGGCTTTTCTGGAAAGCGATGGGTTCGGTGGGTTACGTAATTCAGTATGCGTGTGTGGCTCACTGCACTTTTGAATATTTAGGCGATTTTGTTTTGGTAATGAAATTAATGACATTTGAATTATTTGCTTAATGATCTGCAATTTTAGTGTTCAGGGCCTTCAATGGAACCAACAATTTATTCGGACGATATTTTATTAACTGAACATATCAGTGCTAGAATGAATAGAATAGATAGGGGAAATATTGTTATAGCTAAATGTCCTTCTAACCCTAAGCAAAATATCTGTAAAAGAGTGGTGGGATTACCTGGGGATAAAATTCGAATTGGTTTTAACAACTATGAAATTGTGCCGAGGGGTCATGTGTGGTTGGAGGGCGACAATTCTGGTAATTCTTCTGATTCTAGAAATTATGGACCAGTGCCCCAAGGGCTAATTCGAAGTAGGGCCGTGTGTCGAGTGTGGCCTCTAAAGGACATAAAGTTATTAACTAACTAATTACTAATTAACTCTTATCCCAGTAGCCAATAATAATACCAATTAGAAAAATAATTGTTAAAATCTGTGATTCGTTGATTTGTAAATTTTATAAAAATAAATAAACGAAAATATAATATGTTGTTCCTTGATGTCTGTTTTATTTGTTTTAGTTTATTTTCACATTTTGTGTTAGTTCAAGTGTTGGCAACACAAAAACTACAGTGTATGTATGGTTGCATGTAATTTTAAACAATTTCTTTTTTTTGTTCAACGGAAAGCCGTTCAAACAAATCTTCAAACGAAAAAAAAAGAATTTTTAAGAAAGACAGTAAACAAATTGGTTTTTTTTACAATTGGATGTTGTTCCTGATTTAAATCAGTATCTCACACACAGAGTTTTTATCTTATTTTGAATATTAGTAATGTCTGTGGTAATGGATAGCAAAAAATTCTACAGTTTTTATTTTTTTAGGAAAAAACGTATAGTTTAAATTCCATGAAAAAAATATAGTAACATAAGTAGGTAATCTACAATACGCCAAAAATAAATAAAAAGTTCTTTCTGTGCAGTTTTATTATAAAAAAAATTAATTGGTCAAAAATAGTTTTTTTTTTTAATTTATATTTAAACGACACGGGCAAAAAATTTTAAATTAATATACCTACATTGCTGCTAAAGCCATCAAAAAGTTATATTTTTTTCAAAATTTTGAACTACGATATTTTTTTTTATTCTGTATAGTTCAACCTTAAATACAGGATGAATATAAAGTATGGAACCAAGCGGTTTTATTTTTAATCATTTGCCTCCAGCAAATAATAATTAATATAAATTAAAGTAATATAAAAAATGTGATCGTATTTTCAGAACGAAATTTTATTTTGTTTTTGATTATGCCATTTTGTTGTCAAAATTTGCAATTTATGTGTAAATTTTTTTTTGAAAAAATTAAATATAAAGCGGATAGTTGTAATCCTTAGAGTATAGCTTTTATGAGAAAAATGATTTTATAGTGGGTTGCCATTTAAAAAAATATTTTTTTTTGTAGAACTCAAAAACAAAAGGAAATTTCGAAAAATTTTATTCTTGTTAAATTATCACATTTTTATAGTACTTTATCACTCATTAATCAGTTTTGTCAAAAAATAAATAGTTTAAGCAAAAAATGTTTGGTTCCATACTTTTTATTCACCTAGTGTGTAACCTACTCATTGTCTTATCTTAGAGTAATAAATATCTTTGCTATTCTAAACAACTGTTTAGAATTAATTTGTAACAGAAAATTTTTGTTTAGTGTACCTACCAATTTATTCTATGACTTTGTTTAGGAACTGATAAATTATCAAAATTTTCTATAAAACGCGTTTGTCGTGTAGGAAAAAAAAATTTGCTAATATTATTTTACCGAATAAACTAATTAAAAAAGCACTTAGAGACAAAGTCGTAGAAATAAAAAATATTTATTGCATAATCGACATTAAAAACAATACATACAAAATTTATTGTTTTGTATTGTTTTATTACTACTGTGATTTATTTTAATTGAATTTGTTAATTTCCTTCCTAGACTTTAAATTGTTGTGGAGGCAGTTATGTAATATTATTAGTTCTACTTGCAGCAAAGCAGTATTCAAAAACTTTCGAGACTTTAACTTTATGAAAAAAGTGTTATTAATAAATAATATTTGTTTGTTAGTTAAAGAGTTTTACATAATATTAATTTTATTTAAGTGGTAAGTGAAACGAATTTATTAGTGTACCAATTTAAATTGACGTAGTAAGTAATCAATTTTTTTTTCAAAATTGACCTCAAGAATCATGTGTTCATTCAAACTGTTTCTTATATCATAAAAATGTTGCCTTTTCATTTTTATAATTAATCAAATGTCAAATATTATCTAAAACAAGAATTGCAATAAACTATATTGAAATATTGGATTTAGGTCTAGTTTAATATTTGGGTCAAAGATTACTCATTTCGGTCATTGATTATTACTTAATGAACTACAATTATCTTTGAAAATTTTTCTTAAATGGTACATTAAAATCAGTTCATGGCCTTAATCAATCTTCAAACATGATAATCACGATAGAACATAGAAGATATTAGTTTAGAAGTGAAGCTTTCTTAAGTGTAGTTCTTTTAATTAAAATGCAGTAAAGCATATTTTTTTCATAATTGAAAGTTAATTAGTGATCTCACGAGTACTTACTACATGATAATTAGATAATTGTGTTAGTAAAAGGTATATTTTTGGTAGAGTTCTCTACAAATCGTTTGTGCTGTGTCATCTTTAAAATAATGATAGACAAAATAAGCACCCGAACACGCAACTAACCAATTATACTGGACATCTTATATAACGACCGAACCAGAGAATCATCCAGTTATCACCATTATTGACTGTGAGATACACGACTTCGATTAATTGCAATAAATCAATCGCCATAATGCGTTTAGTGTTCTTTATAATTATTTCAATTTTTACCATTGGGCAAACTGCAAATATTCTTGGAATATTTCCCTTGCCCGGAAAAAGTCATTTTGTTATGTTTGAACGCCTGTTAATGGGTCTTGCAGAAAAAGGCCACAATGTCGATGTTGCGACACATTTTCCTAGGAAAGAGCCAACTCCGAGGTAAACAATAATATCCACTTTTTCCCCATATTCCAAAATTTGATTTTAGATACAATCAGCTGAGTCTGGTAGGAAGTCTTCCAATTTTGGTCAATAATTTATCGTTTAATTTATTTGACGGTTTCACTAATTACGACATGATGCACTTTATGACCAAAATTTGTGGCGTTGATGTTTGCGCAGCGACTCTAAACACTTCAGTTTTACGCAATTTAAAGAACACAAAAAAAAAGTACGATTTAGTTATTACTGAAATTTTTGGGTCGGATTGTATGCTAGGTTTTGGACACTACTTTAAAGCACCAACTGTTTCTTTGATAAGTAGTATAAGTTTACCGTGGGCCGGGGACAGAATCGGAAATCCAGACAATCCTTCTTATATTCCAAACTACTTTGTTTCTTCCACCGCAAAAATGAGTCTGTTTGAAAGAGTGGAAAACACGATTATGTTGATGTACACCAAATTTTTGTAAGTACCTATAAAACCGAGGGGTAAACCGTAACCCAAACTTTGTACACCAGATTGCCTTTTTTGCTATGATTTTCTCTGATTTCCTCATGAATTTTGTTGACTTCCTCTGATTTTCTTTAATTTTCTCATGATTTCTTCTAATTTCCTCATATTTTTTTTTCATTTTCCCTAATTTCTTCAACATCATCAGATTTCCTTTTTTATTTTGTTTTTCCCTAATTTTTTTAAGTTCCCCATAATTTCTTCTGATTTACTCTGATTTGTCCTGATTTCTTATCTACTTTATGTGTATGTATATTTTTCCCTTGATTTCATTTCCTAATGATTTCTTCTAATTTCTCCTGATTTCATCTCATTTTTTCTGAATTCTCCAATTTTGTACACCAGATTTTCTTTTTTATTTGGATTTTTCTTGATTTCATTTTCGTATGTTTTCCCCTGATTTGTTCATGTTTTCTTCTGATTTCCTCAGGGTTTCTTCTAATTTGTCAACAAATGAAGAAAAAAACACCCTATTTGCGCATACGCATTTTTCAATGGTTTTACTTGATTTCCTCTGATTTTTCCTGATTTTCTTTTGATTTCCTCTAATTTTTCTATAAGTTTTTCCCTTTTTTTATTTCTTTTGATTTCCTCTAATTTACCAACAAATGAACAAAAAAAACCTCCTTGCTCATACGTATTTCTCAATAATTTTTTCTGATTTCTTTCAAAATTCTTCTGTTTCCCTTGATTGCTTCTGATTTTATCAGATTTTCTCTAATCTCTTCTGATTTCTCTAATTTTGCACACCAGGTTTTCTTTTTTGTTTTTGTCTCACTTGATTTTCTCTAATTTCCTCTTGATTTCCCTTGGTTCCATAGCATTTTCTCATGATTGCTCCATAAAAATGACCCTGATATTATTTGTTTTTCTCTGATAACTTCATGATTTCCTTTGATTTTTTCAAGATTTCATTTACTTCTCTAACAAATGAACAAAAAAAACTACTTGCTTCAATAGTTTTACATAATTTCTTCACGATTTCTTCTATTTCTCTTGATTTTCTCTGATTTCGCCTGTTGTGTACACCAGATTTCTTTTTTATTTTGATTTCTTCTGATTTTCTCTGATTTCTTAATGATTTCCTCTGATTTCTTCCTTAATTTTAAATGCCGTTTTTCTCTGCGGTTTATTCCTCGTATAAAACAAGCAATTTCAAATTAAATGGAAAAATTTAAGATACCACTACTTTTCTTCGAAAGAGTCGAACCAAATCGCAAGGGAATTTTTCGGACCTGAGTTACCATCTCTAGAGGAGCTAGCCCGAAACACCAGTCTTGTTATAGTAAACAGCCATTTCAGTATTTCACATGCAAGACCAACAGTACCTAATTTTATTGAAGTTGGGGGACTTCACATTCACGAAGCTAAACCATTATCCAAAGTGATTTACTCCTGTATTGCTTTCAAAGTAACAATAATTTTTTTTTAGCATTTTGAAGATTTGGTTACAACTGACGCAAACAAAGGGATAATTTACCTAACGATGGGGTCTATGATTATGACAGAAACTTTCGATCCTGCAAAACTCCAAGGAATGTTTGACGCTTTTGCGGAATTACCGTACAAAGTTTTATGGAAAGCTAAACGAGAAAATTTTCCTAAAGGCTTGAAAATTCCGAAGAACATTTATTTTGAGAATTGGATGCCCCAAATGGACATTTTGTGTAGCTAATTGTGCAAATCCTCATGCAGTAAAAGCTAAATTAAATTTTTAGGTCACCCTAATGTTAAATTATTTGTTTCTCATGGTGGTTTGATGGGGAGTCAGGAAGCGGTCTACTGTGGAGTTCCCCGATTAGGAATACCACTTTTTGCCGATCAGGATAACAATATTCGTGCTTCCGAACGCATGGGACTTAGCATTAAAGTAGCATATAATGATATTAGTAAAAAGACAATTCTTGAAGCCTCGAAAAAATTACTTGAAGATCCCACATACAAAAAAAACGCTGAACAAATTTCAAAACAGTTTAAAGATCGTCCTCTATCTCCTTTAGATACAGCGATTTTTTGGGTGGAATATGTCATAAGGCACAATGGAGCTCCTCAGTTACGAAGTGCAGGGGCTGATTTGCCTTGGTATCAGTATTATTTGATAGATGTTGTTGTTATTTTAGCTTCTGGACTTTTTATATTTATATTATCTACCATTTACGTTTTAAAATTAGTGCTCCACTTTATATACGGTAATCATAAACATAAAACCGAATGATTTATAAGTTTTTTTTCATTATACGGCGTATAACGATATACATGTTTTATTAAATACAACATTCTTATACATGTTTTTAAGGCTTTAACATTATTAAAAACACATAAACCTTATCGCCGGTCTGACTTATTTCTTTTTTTTATTGTTTTTTGTTACTGTTTCTTTCCCTTTCCCTAAAACAAAATTAAAACGTACGATATTGAATGACGTTACAAATACTAATATACTAATATATGGAGCAAAGCTTTTAACTTGACTCATTTAAATATCTAATTTTTATAGTACAAAAAGGCTTGTGTTAATTATAATTGATAACAATATCAACAAATAAATATTTGTTATAGTTCATGTTGTTTACACCAAAAGGTGAGTTAACAACAATTTTCGACCAAAGTTTTGATGTCCTTTGCAGTTAAAATGCTGAAGATAATAGTAAATTTACTTTTCATTTTGTCGGGTATGTCATTAATTGAAAGTGCCAACATTTTGGGAATTATGCCTTTTCCTGTGAAAAGTCATTCGATTTTATTTGAGACTCTCCTGAAACGTCTGGCTGAAAAAGGACATGATGTTGATTACGTTACGCATTTTCCGTCCGAAAAAAAACCAGAAAGGTTTTCACATTTTTTTAATTTTTCAATAGTTAATTATGTCTTCAGATATAACGAATTGAGCATACATGGAAGCCTCCCACTGTATCACAACAATATGTCAATACATGCATTAAAGGATCATTCTATTTATGAAACAATAAAATTTATAACAATTTCTGAAGGAGTAGAAACTTATTCTAAATTAATGAAAACTGCAGTTTTACAAAGTTTAAAAAATTCAACGAAACGATACGACTTAATTATTACTCACCTTTTTGGTTCTGATGCAATGTTGGGATTTGGACATTTATTTAATGCACCGGTAGTGTCACTTACGACAAGTGTAGCTTTGCCTTGGATAAATGGAAGAGTGGGAAATCCGGATAATCCGTCTTATGTTCCAAATTTCTACTCAACTTCCAGTCCCAACATGAATTTGTATGAAAGAATTGCAAACACAATTTTATGGATAATGACCAGAATTTGGTAAGGTAATATTTGCTAATATTGTGAATAATTATTGAATCCTGAAGGTATAATTACTTGACTGTGGCTCCAACAAATCAATTGGTTAAAGATTTTTTTGGATCGAATACACCCTCTTTGGAAAATCTTATTCAAAATACTAGTCTTGTACTAGTTAATAGTCATTTCAGCATGCAACAAGCTAGGCCAACTGTGCCAAATTTTATAGAAGTTGGAGGGCTCCACATACGTGAACCTCAAACATTATCCCAAGTATGCAAAAAGTGCAATAAAGAAAATATACAAAATAAAGTTTTAGAATTTGGAAAATGTAGTTAGCAATAATAGTTTTGGAGTCATTTACTTGTCGATGGGTTCTATGGTTGTAACTGAAACTTTCGATTTTGAAATACTTCAAGCAATGTTCAATGCTTTTGCTGAATTGCCCTATACTGTCTTGTGGAAAGCCTCACCTGAAAAATTTCCTAAAGGCTTGACAATTCCTGAAAACATCTATTTCCGATCGTGGATGCCTCAGATAGATATTCTATGTAACATTGTTATTTTTTGGTTTTTTGGTATATTTGTTTTGAAATTTTTAGGCCATCCTAATGTGAAATTATTTATTAGTCATGGGGGTTTGTTAGGTAGCCAAGAAGCGGTGTATTGTGCTGTTCCAAGAATAGGAATTCCATTTTATGGTGATCAAGAAAGCAATATTCGCATGTCCGAAAAACTGGGAATTGGAATTAAACTGCCTTATGAGAATATAAATAAAAAAAGTTTTCTTCAAACTATCAAGCAGGTTCTTGAGGATGAGAAGTAAAAATAATTTATAAGAAAAGTCTTTGATTTAATAATAATTTTGTATAGCTATAAACACAATGTTGAAAAAATTTCTCAATTATTCAAAGATCGTCCGATGACACCTTTGGATACCGCAGTTTATTGGGTGGAATATGTAATTAGGTATAAAGGGGCTCCTCATTTGCGTTCTGRYGGTGCTGATTTYCATTGGTATCAGTATTATTTAGTAGACGTTGCATTTATTTTACTCTTTGGTTTATTTGTACTTATATTGTTAATTGTTTATGGATTAAAACTGGCACTGTGTTTCATAAACGGTAAAGAAAAAGATAAAGTTGAATAGTTATTATTGTTATTAATTTTATCAGAAATATATTTCGGCAATCTATTTAGGTGTACTAGATGCACACAACAAAATAAATGCACGTTTTTCCTTAAATTGTTTAGTTTTAAAACTTTATTATTATAGATATTATAAATACCTTATTGTTTATTTTCTTTCTTAGTGGCATCTTCAAAAAGTCAAAAAATTTTTTTGAATGGTGAAAATTTAAATATTTCGATTTTTGATAAAATTTTCGGCGATTTTCAGAGCGAATAATATCAGCTAATAACTTTGAACTTTTTTTCGATAATTGTTTTATGTTTGGTATCGTCAAAAAGCACTTTTAATTTTCTATCTTACAAAAAAAGATCATAGTTCTGCAATAAATAGTTATTGAGAAAATCGCTGTAAAGACAAAAATAGCAAAAATATTAATTCAACAGAAACTTCTAAACTATCCAGAATTATGAGGTTTTCTTGACACCATTTTACTTTTCGGAACATTTTACACATGTATGGTTAAAATAATAACCATTTTGGGTATACTTTTGCCAAAATTAACTAAATAAAAAAAGGAAAAATTTTTGAACAGTTCTTCTCGTAAAAAGATGGCTTTTTTGAATCTGTTTTAGATTATCTCCTTTTATACAGCTGTTTTTTGGATGGAATATGCCATAAGGCAAAATGGAGCTCCTTAATTACGAAGTGCAGAGGCTAATATTCCTTGGGATCAGTATTATTAGGTACATAGATGTTTTTAGCTTCTTTCAAATATTTTTGTTTTTAATTTAGTGTGCAGTATACAGGGTGTATCAGCGAGTTGGTAAAGTCCAATATTGACCTTTAAACGATAAAATTTTAAAACAGGTATATAGGAAATTGATATTTACTAAACTAGTCTATCGCCTAAAATTATTTTCAACTATACAGCGTGTCCCAAAAATAAGTTGCAATACAAACTTGTGTTTTTTAAATGAAACAGGAAACACCATATGTTTCCTAGCATTTTTGGATGTAGATTTTTATGACAATGTTTTTAAGCTAATCTTTTATTGGTCTATTTTGCTTATTTTTAAAAATAAGACGGTTTTTTTTGACGATAACATGCACTTTTTAAAAATTTATTACACAAAAACTAAGACAGCTAGAACAATTTTTTTCTTACTTTTGCAAAGAAGAAAGTACAGAATATAAAGCTGTAACAATTTTTTAGTGTTTTGCATTTGTAAAGATTAAAAAATGAAGAGGTTTGTTAAAAGTTAAATAACTTAAAAAATTTAAATGGATCACCTTATTTTATATTTTTGCATTTAATAGATTGATAAATTGTCTATCGAAAAAAAATTACTTTTAATGTCTAGAATTGATAAAGAAAAAGATATTTAACATTCAATATTAATTGTAGCAACAATGCCTATCAATACATGAGTATTGTTGATACTATGGCAACCATAATAATTCCACCACGGATCACCGTTAATTTATGCGAAGATTGTAAAAGTCGTTATAAATATTGAAATTTGGATTCTAGAATTGTAGAAATAAAAAATAATAGATTCAATTTAACATAAATGCGGTAGTAAAAAATAATATTTCTAGATGTTTAGTTTTTGTGTAATAAAGTTTTAAAAAGTGCATGTTTTCGTCAAAAAAACCGTCTTATTTTTAAAACTAACCAAAATCGACCAATAAAAGTTTAGCTTAAAAAAACAATGTCACAAAAATCTACATCCAAAAATGGTAAGGAACATATGGTGTTTTATTTAAAAAAAACACAAGTTTGTATTGTAACTTATTTTTGGAACACGCTGTGTATTTGAAAATAATTTTAGGTGATGCACAAGATTAGCATCTACCAATGTCCTATTCATTTTTTTTTAATTTTACCATTTAAAGGTCACCAATGGACTTTACCAACTCGCTAGAACACCCTGTATACGGAAACCATAAACATAAAACTGAATGATTTATTAGTAATGTTGTAAATGTAGTACTTAGTTTTGGTTTTGTATAATTTTTTCCTGAATATTCATAATACTGCGTAAAACGCCAAATATAGGTACAGGGTGATTTTTTCACGAGATATAGTTCTTCAGAGGTTATATTATACGTTAAGTTTTTGGCCGTTCAGATAATGTATTTTTGAATTTAGTTATCAAAAACACCAAATCTTGCAACATTAAACAGATCCTACCTGTTGAACAAAAATCACCAATTTGTGTCTTATGGTGTACAAAACATTTAACAAACTATCAAATTTAACAATAAATTAAATCCGACAATATCAGAAACAAAAAAGCTAAGGTGCCTACATGGTAATATGAAAATTGTCAAAAAATCATCATTCGAGAGTCGGCCCGACACTTTTGAATCCTTTGTATCTCTTATTTGAAATAATATTTTTGTATTTTTCGGGCTTTTGTATTGTCACAAAGGGGGTCAACTTCCTGGTATTCCGTAACGAGTTGTGTTTCGAAAGGTTGGTTTTGCTAACATTTGAATTCCTAAGTTCCGAACTGGAGCGCGGGGTCATAATTTTGGTAAAGTCAGCCTGTCGAAGCTCAATAAAAGAAGGCGGAATACGAGGGGGGAGGGAGTTGTTAGTCGCGTTCCTTTTGGTGGTAACTCTTCGCGGCGGGTGTGCGAGTGACCCCGAATAGTGACCTGTGCCCTCCCCTCGTCATTATTTGTGGAGTACTACGAGAGATGTCTCTCATAAGATGACGGTGAGTACTCCCTTAAGTTATGTACTTAGTTTGTAATCAATAAATTCTATTTTTCTACCCTGGTCTTTGTCTTAACCCCTTGCACGAGCTTAGGCCCGTGACAGTATTATTAATTATTATTATTATGTATTAAAGAAATAAATACTATTTTAATCCCGAAAATGTAAGCAACACGACAGGCGACCGAACAGAGCCGAAGCCATTTTCATTCGAGGTAATTGTAATTTTAAGAATAAAAATCGGTATTTTATTGATTTACATCTTCAAGGGAATAAAGTAGCAGATTATTAGTTAAAAACGAGGAAACAAAACGTTAATTATTTTCTTTTAGAAAAAAAATAGTTAAACTTATTCAAATTTTCTTTATTGCCTTAAATAAAAGGTTTTTGGCGTCAAAAAATAATTACATATGTGCATAATATGGAACAAAACGTTTAACTGAACTAATTTATCATATCAACTTTATATTTCACTACAAAAAAGGTTTGCATGAAAGTTCATATGCAAGTTAATTGTGACCCAATCAGCAAATACTTGTGAAGGTAAAAAATCTATGTTATACCAAAAGGTGTGTTAGAAATAATTTTTGTTCAAAGGTTTTATTTTCTTTGCAGTTAAAATGCTGATGGCAAATTTATTTTTCATTGTGTCGAGTATGTCATTAATTGAAAGTGCCAACATTTTGGGAATCATGACTTTTCCTGTGAAAAGTCATTCGATTTTATTTGAGACTCTCTTGAAACGTCTTGCTGAAAAAGGACATGATGTTGATTACGTTACGCATTTTCTTACGGAAAACAACCCAGAAAGGTTCTCATAATCCTATGATTTTGAAGTGCTTAATTTTGTCTTCAGATATAACGAACTAAGCATTCATGGAAGCCTCCCACTGTATCTCAACAATATGTCAGTACATGCATTAAAGAATCATTCTGTTTATGAATTAATAAAATTTTTAACAATCTCTAGTGGAGTAGAAAGTTATTCTAAAGTAATGAAAACTGAAGTTTTACAAAGTTTAAAAAATTCAACAAAGCAATACGACTTAATTATTACTCACCTTTTCGGTTCTGATGCAATGTTGGGATTTGGACATTTATTTAATGCACCCATTGTGTCACTTACAACAAGTCTAGCTTTTCCTTGGATAAATGAAAGATTGGGAAATCCGGACAATCCGTCTTACGTCCCAAATTTTTACTCAACTTTGAGTTCCAAGATGAGTTTGTATGAAAGAATTAAAAACACAATTTTGTGGATAATGACCAGAATTTGGTAAGATAATGTTTGCAAATATTGTGAATAATTATTGAATCCTGAAGGTATAATTACTTGACTGTGGCTCCATCGAATCAATTGGTTAAAGATTTTTTTGGGCCAAATACACCTTCTTTGGAAAATCTCATTCGAAACACTAGTCTCGTGCTAGTTAATAGTCATTTCAGTATGCAGCAAGCTAGGCCAACTGTGCCAAATTTTATAGAAGTTGGAGGGCTTCACATACGTGAACCTCAATCATTATTCCAAGTATGCAAAAAAGTGCAATAAAGAAAAATTACAGAATGAAATTTTAGGATTTGGAATATTTAGTTAGCAATAATAGTTTCGGAGTCATTTACTTGTCGATGGGTTCTATGGTTGTAAGTGAAACTTTCGATTCTAAAATACTTCAAGCAATGTTTAATGCTTTTGCTGAATTGCCTTATACTGTTTTATGGAAAGCCTTGCCTGAAAAATTTCCTAAAGGCTTGACAATTCCTGAAAATGTCTATTTCCGATCGTGGATGCCTCAGATAGATATTCTATGTAACATTGTTATTTTTTGGTTTTTTGGTATATTTGTTTTGAAATTTTTAGGCCATCCTAATGTGAAATTATTTATTAATCATGGGGGTTTGTTAGGTAGCCAAGAAGCGGTGTATTGTGCGGTTCCAAGAATAGGAATTCCATTTTATGGTGATCAAGAAGGCAATATTCGTATGTCTGAAAAACTGGGAATTGGGATTAAACTGCCTTATAGCAATATAAATAAAAAAAGTTTTCTTCAAACTATCAAGCAGGTTCTTGGGGATGTGAGGTAAAAACAATCTATAAGAAAAGTCTTTGATCTAATAATAATTTTGTATAGCTATAAACACAATGTTGAAAAAATTTCTCAATTATTCAAAGATCGTCCGATGTCACCTTTGGATACCGCAGTTTATTGGGTGGAATATGTAATTAGATACAAAGGAGCCCCTCATTTGCGTTCTGCAGGTGCTGATTTGCATTGGTATCAGTATTATTTAGTAGACGTTGCATTTATTTTACTCTTTGGTTTATTTGTACTTATATTGTTAATTGTTTATGGATTAAAACTGGCACTGTATTTCATAAACGGTAAACAAAAATATAAAGTTAAATAGTTATCAATTTTATCAGAAATGTACTAGAACATGATAGGATTTTTGATTTGTGGTTTCGATACCGTATTAGGTAGTTGTACAAAAAAAATGCACTTTTTTTTAAGTAAAACGGTGTTTTATTTTAGTAACTTTACTTACTACTTACTTACTTTAGTAACTGAGATGTTATGAAAACATCTTCAAAAAATCAAGTGAAAATCAATCAGCGTCTCGAGACTCTTTTTTGTTGTTCAGTCTAGAAGCGTCACGACTGATTCTTTTTTTTTCAAATTTTTTTCAATTTTTTTTCTTTCCAAATTGCGTTTGATATAATCACATTTAAATCTGTCATAATTGCCTAATATTTTCTGATTTTAAAGCATTCGATTTCTTTGATTTTTGTCGATATAAGACACAAAGGAGCCCCACGGTGGGTGTCTTGGTATTAGTATTACCCGATATTACCTCATTGTCGTTATTGTTTTTCTCTCGTCTGCAATTTTCACCAGCTTGTACTTTTTTTTCAAAACAGGTTTTATGTAGAACGCGCAAAGAAAAACGACTTGAAACTATTTGAATAAATTTGAGAATTTTCAAATCTTGATAAAACCACGTCTAAATTTTGTAAAACCGGTATATCTCCTTGACCTAATGGTATGGCAAAGAAAGTGGTATAGCCAATGAATGACCAGCAGGAAGGCACAAGAAGAGGAAAGTGCAGTCGTCAACAACGTTGCGGTCAGTTAGTGTATTGTGCAGCAGGAAAAATGGCAAAGTTCCTGCTGAAATCGTGTCAGATAGTGTTAATTAGTGTACTGTATTTGAGTTTAATGACAGGTAAGTTATAAAATTTTTCAAATACGGTCATTAGTCTTGGCAAAAAACATCACGGGTGGAACAAGGAAGACTTTAAATCCGCAACAAATTGCCATCGCATGTACGAATGTGAAAGTGAATAAATTTTGTTTAATCTAATATCTACAATTTGTCTATTTTGCTCAAACAAGAATTTAATTATTTTTTTAATAATTATCATTCAAAACATTTACACGAAGTACTGTCCAGATTATTTTAAATTTACAGTTACTTGCGGATTCAACAATACTTTTCAGTCTTTATTTACACTAATAGTGACAATTAATTATTGCAAAAACGAGTTACGAGTTTACAAATTTCTGAGAACTGAACTCACTTTCAGTCTGCAGATTACATCTCGAAGGACAATGCTATAAAATATTTTTTTTAACTGTGGTAAATAACATTTTTGCATATTAATACCCGCTTCAAATGTCACGCATTGAAGAATTTATTTACAATGACTGAACTAAAAATTGACAAAAATTTGGCAACTTTTGCGGTAGCAGACGTTTATAATTTCACTTTTAATTAAACATTTTAGGGGCCTTGTCAACCTAAGGTTATTATTTTAGTCTCAGTAAATCGAGGTTAAAGTAGAAAGTAATGATGGTATGTGTGGATCCTCAGCTTTCGATATTTATTTATATTTTTTTACAAAGTTTTTTTCTATTTCCTCAACATTATCTTAAAATTCGTAATGAATTGAAATATTCATTAGTGGCGTGCAAGGTTGACTGGTTTATGCTAACAGGAAATCCAGTTGACAGGAAAGACAGAAAAAAAAGTTAACAAAAACACAATACTGGTTTAAATTAGAACATTTACTTTGGTGAAAAATATAAATAAAAAGTGTCCAGCCAATCCGAGTTTAAAATAATGTTTCAAGGTTCTCTGGGAATGGGGCTCATAATTCACTCAGAAATTTCTGCATCGTTGATAAATATGTAACAATTTATTACTAATACATTCTTTGCATTTAACCTTGATTACAAAACGTTGTTATTAAAAGTCTGTAATTCCATAACCGGTGAAAAATTCCACAGAAGAAGATTTATATTTCACAGACAAAATTTAACTTTCATTTGCACTTTCAAGATTTTTTCAAAGTGTTACATGGTTTGTTAATTAGACAGGAAGAAACTGAAAGTAAATTACATGAAAATTTGTGGTTATGGGGATTTAAAAGTGTAATCAATTTTATGTAAGCAACAAAAAAAAAAAATTATTGACATTACTGAAAAAAAACTAATTACCTACCTTGAAAACTTTGGTTGACAAAACCTTTGGTAAAAGTGAACTTGAACTTTATTCTTACGAAAGTGGTACTTTTACAGTACCATAATACAACACTTTCCTATTCTTAGTTTAAGTTTCCATTGAGGATTAATTCAATCGATGACCGCATTTTTACCGATACACTAAAACAGAAGCTGTGAAAGCAGAATTTATTACGACTGCAAACAAATTCTATTTACACAGAAAGTTTTTGTATTTTACATGATTGTTATCGTTAGATATTTACAGTTAAAGCCCAAAATGACCGAAGAACCAAAGACGATAAGAAAAATGAGGAATTTGAGTGTCCGCAAGGAGTCGGGAATGGGAATTTCGCAGATCCTGCGACTTGTCGACGCTTTTATCAAGTATTTTATTCCAAATTGTGTTTTAATCATAATCAAGGATTTAATTGTAGTGCGTGGATGGTTACCCCTACTTGAATCGTTGTCCCTCGGGACTGTTTTTCGACGACATTAGTAAGTTTTGTACGTTCAAAAATGAGGCACGTTGTGGGCCCATTGCTTCCAGTAAGTATAAAAGAAACTAAAAGTTTCAATGAAAGATCATAGATCTTGTGTAGCACCTGCTCCGATCACTGAACCCCCGACTGATTTAGCCCCCAAGTGCAATACAGGAGAGTGTGAACTGCCTTATTGTTTCTGTTCAAAAGATGGGACAATAATCCCCGGTGGACTGGACCCGGAAGAGGTAATAATTTCTCTGAATCTCTACCAAAACTATTTTTATAATTTTAGACCCCACAAATGATCCTTTTGACATTTGACGGTGCCATTAATTTGAACAATTACGACCACTACAAGAAAGTGTTTAATAAAAAACGGCAAAATCCCAACGGGTGTGATATAAGAGGAACTTTCTTCATCTCACATGAATACAGCAACTACCAAATGATCCAAGGATTGGCAAGTGATGGCCACGAAATGGCCACGGAAACCATCTCGTAAGTGCCTCATTTCACGTTAAAACATACTATTTTGCAATTTCCAGTTTGCAAATGGGTTTGCAAGACAAAGGTTACGAGGAATGGGTCGGCGAAATGATTGGAATGAGAGAAATTTTGCGCCATTTTGCCAATATTTCAAAGAGCCAAGTTGTGGGCATGAGGGCCCCCTTTTTGAAACCCGGTCGCAACACACAGTATAAAGTCTTGGAAGATTTCGGTTACATTTACGATAGTTCTATTGGAGTACCACCTGTAGCCGTCCCAGTCTGGCCCTACACTCTAGATTACAAAATTCCACACGAGTGCAAGTCCGGGTCTTGTCCGACTAAATCATTCCCCGGAGTTTGGGAAATTCCCCTAAATGCGCATTTCATAGATGGGTACGAAGGGGGCCATTGTCCATATTTGGACCAGTGTGTTTTGCACAACCACGACGCGCAGGAAGTTTTCGAATGGTTGCAGGAAGACTTTAATAGGCACTATGAGCAAAACCGGGCCCCCTACATGATGCCTTTCCACACGAATTGGTTCTCGATCAAAGAACTGGAGCAAGGGTTGCAGAAATTTTTGGACTGGACTGTCACGCTGTAAGTATGTCCAAAGCGATGGGTAAACAGCAGAAGAAATCAGGGGAAATTTAGGAAAATTAGAGAAAATCATAAAAAAAAGCGCATGCGCAAATAGTTTATTTCCATTTGTTCACAAGTTATGGTAAATTTATAAGAAATCAAGGAAAATCATTGGTAATTGCGCATACGCGCAAATCGGTTTATTAGTTTTTTTGTTCATTTGCTGGCAAATTCGGAAAATTTTTGAGAAAATCATGGGAATAGCAAGCAAAAAGGAAATCTGGTGTGCAAAATTTGGGACGAGGTTTACCCTCGGATTAAATTGTTTAAATGTGTGATTTTTCAATTACAGGCCCGATGTGTGGTTTGTCACGGGTACCCAAGCCCTGACTTGGATGACCGACCCGAAAACCATCAAGGAATTGAATAATTACGACGGTTGGAGTTGTAAAAACAAAGCGAATCTGCCGCCTAAGTCTTGTAATAATCCCAATAAATGTGCTCTTAATTTCAAAACTCCCGACTTGAATTTCACGGATACGAGGTATTTAGAAACTTGTAACGATTGTCCTAATCAGTATCCGTGGTTGGGTGATGCTGAAGGATCTGGGATTGCAGGAAAAGACAACTACGTTCCTGACAATGTTAGAAAATAGTACAATGTAATTTTATAGTAATAGATTTTTTAATTTTTCAAACCAAAATATTTTAAATTAAATAGGTAATATCTCTAAGGTTATCTATTATTTATGTGTATGTTTTATCCAACATGAGTCAGGTGTGAATATTTTCTATTGTTGCGTTTTGAAAAATAATAAATAAATTATTGTTACATAACTTATTTTATTTAGCACCCACAGTGCTTCAAAAGCAATTACAAATACAAATTTCAAAGAGTAAATCTTTATTTATGGTATATCTACAAATCTAAATGTGTAAAGCTTTATGGAAATTTCTTAAACTTATCACGGTAACATTTCACCATACTATGTGTTAAAAATAGCATTAAAACTAATTTTTTACAATAAGATTGTCATATAAAAATACTTAGCGCCCGGAAATTCTGTTTGTGTTTAATACTGACTTTCTATTCACTATATGTAGTGCGTAATCTTTACATTCATAATAATTATCAGTAATAAACAAAAACGTGTGGTGCTATAAATTTCTCTAAACATAAAAAAAATAATTTATTACAAGCTTTGCGTTGAAAATAAAAAATTGAGCGTATTTCTTATAAGAAGCAGTCTTATTGACCTAGTTTTTAAAGTTCCGAATGACTAGATAACCGCGGTCCTTTCTTAATCTCTTTCTTTTTCTTTTTTGCTTTGCTGGGGTTGACTTCAGGATCTAGTTGGGGCCCTTGCTTCCTGTAAGGATTAAAATAATTTGCATTTCTTTCAATGTGATTTAATTCCTGGCTCGCCAAAGACAGGGCTTTGATTGTGCTATTATCCAGAAGATATCTGACTTGGTTACAGAAAGCAATGCTCCATTGAAGTAACACATCCCAGTTGTTGTTGGTCCTTAATACTGATACAGATATGTCTGGAAATCGTAAAATGATATCAGAAAATAAAGCCGTATTCTCCAAAATATTTGATAAGGCATCTTTGATTCTATCATCTAATGGGAAGTCTGATACACCAGGAATGTATGGTGAAGCTTCGATTGTCGCGCGACTGTCTTGAATAACAGTGAATACTTTCTCAGCCATGAGCATTATCATAGAATACTGTTTTTCATAACTGGAGATTTTCCGGAAACTCTTAATTGCCTCAAGTTGCTCGGCTCGTTGTCGTTTGAACAATTTTTTATCTAATTTTATTAGTTAAGTAATAAAACGGAATAAATACCACTCAGTATAAAAAAAGGATACAAATCTGTTCCGCCATTTCAGCCTCATTGGATTGAGCAAAAGAAAAATTAACGATAAATAAAACTAAAATAATTGTTTTAATTTTCATTGCTACATAACCTAAGAATTTAATTTTTGAATTTCATTCGAAATAAGTGTCTCGATGAAAAGTACACATCAAATGTCACAATTTGAATTGACTAGTACCTGCAATTGACTCCGCCCATGTACTTCTCGTTATCAACATAAAATACCGATACCTGTTTGACCGACTCAAATAATAATAATCAAAAATGGCGTCTGGGCCGAAGGTTGCCACAACCCCCTTGGAGGTGCTCACCAACGATGAAACGCGAATCCCCTCGTTTATGAGTAAATATTGGGCCCCTGGAATAGGTGGAAGCACGGCTTTTGTAGCTATGCTTATTACTAATTGGTTTGTTAAAAAACCACTGATGTCTGGTAAGTCACATAACCTGTAAGTTACATAATCAAATATTTGTTGTTTTTTAGGGATTCAGGTGCATGCTTTCGTGACAGTGGCGGGCGCAGCTCTTGGGAAATACATAGATGATTATAGAAACGATTATTTCGCTGAAAGAGACGCTGCGTTTAGGCATTATATTCAATTACACCCTGAGGATTTTCCTGCTTTCAGTAAGCGGGAGTTTTCTATATGTGGTTCTATCTAAATTTGATTTTTTTAGCTCGCAAGAAGTATAGTGAAGTGTTGGAACCTTGGGTCCCCATTCGATAATTTTCTTGTAATTCAGGAGTAGTTTAAATAAATTTTATTTATTAAATGCTTTTGATAAGATTTGGGAAAAAAGACAAATTTAAGTATGCATTTCATTTATTAATAATTGTGGGCGAAAATACAAGTATTTAACTTCTAAATTGTATACATTGTAAATAATCAGAGTTACTCTAAGATGTGATGTTGTACATTGTTTATTTGTATTGAGAAAAGCCTACAAAATATAACAATACTTATACCATCATTTCCAAACTTCAAAGTTAGACTTCTTATAATTCAACATTAACAAACAAAATGGAAGAATCTGATAAATTTACTTTTGGTTAGAAAAATACATGTATCAATAATACCTCTATTTCTACAAAATACATTAATCAATAAATACATTAGTCACCCTTTAATTCATCACAGACTACAATAATTTAATTTTGCTGTGGTACATGTATAAATTGTAATAGAAAAAAAGTATAAAATAAAACCACTTAAATCTACACCTGAATTATAAAAATAAACACTTAAAAACTGAAACAGAACTAAGTTAAACAAAGCATTGTTTTAAACTAAGACATTTTTGGCAACTTTTTAAACAATTTCAAAAAATAGAATCAGTATACTAGCGCCCTTAAACCGTTCTGTTTCGCGATTGTAAAATTTTTCATTGAATCTCATAATTATTGTACCATTTCTCAGTTTCACTATTAATACCGAATATAAAAATAAAATCAGCTTTTCAAGCTACTCACTAAATTTATCTTATTCCTAGACAAGAAGGATGATTCTAAAAGTTGATTTCTTCCTATATTTTATATTGATGATCTATTTTTATGCTATTGCAAACACAAATTGACCATTTGGCAAATGATATCGTGTTAAAATCGGCACACATGATTAATGTAGACTCGATTGCACAGATCTGCACTAAAAAATACGGGGAGGTAGCAGCAAATAAATCTTACCTCAAAAAACTCTAAAACAGCCTTGAATTATGTATGCATCGTCATATTGCTACTTATAAAAATTAGTTTAGGCGTGAAGATGTGTACTTATAGGGATTAAAATTGCTCGGCATTTGATTATCGAGAATGAAATAACTTACAACACTTAATAAAATACACAATAAATACCACAATAAAACATTTAGATGCATAAAATGCATTAACAACCGAAAAAATACTAGGCAATTTGTGATCTAATCACGAGAGGAATGTTTAACAATAACCTAACAGCTAACTAGAAGATTAACTAACGTGCAATTAAAATATTCAGAACAAGAACAAGCGTCAAGCGGAAGGGTGGTGCAATCACATAAGTAAATGAGGCGTTCACTTAATTACTTTTAAATTAACTGCAATATCTTAATTCTATTTTAAGAGAAGAAAGTCAAAAGACTCTAATAAATTATGAGAATTATCAGTTCTGTTCAACATAATACTGATCTTTTTTTTATCATAATGTGCATCTACAGATCAAATGGCAAGCTCACAAAACAAATTTCGCTTTCGTAAGTGAAGAGGTTATCAGATTTAGAATAGAGACCATGCGTACTACTTTAATAAAATTATATATAGCGCGAAAGAAATTATTTGCTTGTTTTTCAGGAAACCTCTTCAAAAGCCACTCATGATATTGCATTTAAATATATAATGCCCTGCATTACTAATTAAGTACTGTATAAATCCTCGCCGAAAATATACAAAATAAACGTATCTCTTATTCTCGTCTGGCCCTTTTGGGTCTAATACCTCCATCCGAATCGTTGCGACCTTTCTTACCGACTTGTACTTGAGATTGCGCCGTCAAATGAAGCGATATCGCATGAGTATTCAATTTTTCAGCTAGCAAAAGATCTTTCAATTCTTTCATTTTCTGACTGTGAAGAATGATTGTCGGCCGTTTATTCTCTACGGGTTCTTCCTTTTCTTCAACGATCGGCGGAGGCACCGGTAACTTTTCTTCTTTCTTCTCTTCCGTCTCTTGTTTGGAAGTGCTCGGTTTACCGTTTTCCTTCTCCAATGGCACTGCATCGTCGCCACCTGATACAAAATGCAATGAAAATCTATCAAAGTGCTCACTCTTAAAACTCACCAACGAAAGGCGAACCATCTCCTTGAAGCAAATACTCCGGATTGAGGATTTTCTCCGAACAAGCGGCAGTCAACGCCTCAATACTTGGATGAAAATTCGACGTTGATTGATCATCTTTGAGTGCTTTCGAGTTGAGCGAAGTCAAGATGTCTGTTTCGTTGGTTCCGTTCTCTTTTTCGTAATTGTTGTTGTTGAAGTACCCACCGTTGGCCCTTTTATTAGTGTCATCTTCGGGCCTTCCGCAGACAATATCGACTTGGGCTCGGACTTCGGCGTCGAATTTTGATATTGTATTTACTAGTGGTTTGGCCCATCCTATATGAAGGACGGGAGTGGCACTCCCTTCTTCCCATTGGCAAATTCCGTCGTAAAAACGCAACAGGTTTGCGAAGCATTCGGGCTTTTTTAGAATTGTGTTTGCACTGAAACCTGAGCTTTCCACTTTCATTATGTGAGGTATTAGTTCGTTCGCTATCTCTAAGAATTCCTTGTAAATTTCTTCGTCGTCCCGCGAGTAATTATACCTAGTAAAATAAAACTTTCTCTCATCTATTCCAATACATTAAAAGACTCATCTTTTACAGTATTTGATAAAAAAGTTAAGTCTTTTTAATACATATGTTTCATTACATATTAGAAATTTGCAATACATTAATTTTTATTTGGTTTTACTACTTATAATTCATGAGAGTGTAATTTAAGCAATGTTCACGTATTTACTTTTTTTTCTATTAACATAGAAACGTCATGGGTTCTAGAAAAAATTAGGGCTCAGTTAAAAATTCTTAGTAGATCAAGCAGGTAATTACATTGTAATTATCAAAATATACAGAGTGTGTTTCAAATCACAATTTAGGCAAATTATTTAAAAACTTTTAACTATAAGACAATAGATTTAAGTTTTTTATATAATTTTGGTCCATTTTATACAAATAAGATAAAATTTTAATTCACTTATAATTTTTTAATTTACATTTAACCGTATGATTTTTTTTTACTCATAGCTCTTAAATAACTATTTGACGGTTCGGGGTGCTGTTATCTTCATTCTGAATTTCAGACGATAAGTGACAGTTCATTTAAATTGATACATCTAGATTTATAATAAACTCCCATCGGTCGTGCTGCAAACAAATTGCTCACGAGCTCACGTGGGACATTGTATTTTCCAAACACATTATTTCAATACACAATTTTTTTGATTGTATTGTTTGTAATTCAAGTAAACACCAAATTAATGTAAATGCTGATAAAAATATGTGAAAAATTAAATATTGCTTAGTCATGAACAAAGTTTTAATTATTACTCTTTGGAACCATTTTATCAATAAGCAAATCAATAAAAAATGTGTCAATAAATATTTTAAGATAATCGAAAATTATTTCTTTTGATAAATCCGCTTAGTATTTTTATTTCAACAAATCGTTTATAATCACACTTAATTAAACTGAAATTTGTACTTTACACAGGAATATTTTCCCAACAGCGTAATAAATTTACATAATATGTGAATAAATTAAAAGTCAGATTAGTCGCAATTTAATTATCTTCCATCTATATTTCTGTAACAAAACTCCATAAAATTTATACAAATTCCGAAAAAAATAATAATCATTTATAAAAATAAGTGTGGGAAGTTGATAAGATATAGAATGAGTTTGTATTGTATAAAGAGATGAAGTAAAAATACTTACAACCTAATAACATCACTGGCATTTGCCCAACTTTCAAAAGCTTCTTTGTACATTTTGTTACGATAAAAGTAACCTCCCTGATAAGTATAAGGATATACATGTTGATTATTATAATAGGTACGTGCAGACGATATGGCCTCTTCAAATAATACACTACAGGGTGTCCTAGAAATAATTTTATGGCAATTAAACAAAATGATGCCAAAATTGATCGTTTACCTTCCTTCCTTCGGGGCAATTTCTTCCAAATCCCCCAGATTCCCAATGGCCATTGGATATTTCTTCAGGTGTCCCAAATCATACAAAAGCCATAATAATTCTTGTTGCAACAAAGCAACCTCGAAAGCGTCATGTGTGGCATTTAGAGAGGGATTAATCGCTGAGACTAACGCAGCAACTTCCATATGTCTAGTACAAACCACTGGTTTATTATTTACGTATAACCAAGACCTCGCCGAGACGCCTTTTCCGATTTCCTGGCCCCGTTTGTCCTCGTTGCCTTTGCCATGCCACGTGACTTCGGCCGTTTCAGTGCCCCTTTCGCCGAAAACAACCCACGCGTGGTCTTCAGACAGGGCCAAATGGACGTCGGAGTAGCCCAAAGTTTGGCAGCCAGCCACGACAGCGAAAGCAACCCCGAAACAATCCAACTTACTACCTGTCAAGTAACTGTAGAGACTCTGTAAGTGGGCCCTGTCTTTGTAATAGCTGCGTGTGAGGGAGTTCCAGACGACGTCGGAGACTTTCTTGACGAGTTCTCTCGTCGCATACGACTTGAAGCCCTTGTTGCATTCAACGGCACTTTTCAGGATCGTGTGGAACTTGTTGTAGAGGGTCTCAATGGTGTGAAACTCCAATATTGGGAGACTTGTCGGCTCTACTGGTTCGCATACCTGCAAGCTCGTGTTCGACCGGCATGTCAACGAATTCTCGACAGCTCCCGCGACTACTGAAAGTAAAGCCAAATCCGGCTCACAAGCGTCTTCTAATTGATTCTTGAACAGTTGGATTACTGACGATATATTCTTTATTGGAAATAATGCTTTGTCTATCTCCCGAATACCCGCCATGTCGATGCTTTACATTTTCTGTCACTTGTCAAATTAAAAAGCCAAGCGGCTGCTGCCAACATAAAAACAATTAATTATTGCGCAATGTTGTTTATTTTCCTCAAACTTCAGCCCGATTGGACAGCCGAATCGACGAACTTTACCGAAGTCCCAACGGCGATACACGAACACATTTATTAAATAATTTATTTTTACAATACCCAATTCGAATTTCAATATTTATGTCGGCTTTTACAATTTCTGGACGAATACCAAATAAGTAATCAATTACTATGGTTGCCTTGGTATCAAAAATGCTCATTTTAATGATAGGTATTGTTGCTACAATTAACATGTAAAATTAAAAAGTTTATTTTTTTAGATAGACAATTTATCAGTCTATGAGATGCAAAAATAAAAAATTACGTGTTCCATTTAATTTTTTTAAGTTATTTAACTTTTAACAAACTTCAACATTTTTTAACTTTTCGACTACAATACATTAAAAAAAATTATAGTCTTAAAGTTCGTACTTTCCTCTTTACAGTGGTAACAATTTTTTTTTCCAGCTGTCTAAACTTTTTGTGTAATAAATTTTTCAAAAGAAGATGTTTTCGCCAAAATCGACTAATAGAAGTTTGGCTTAAAAACATTGAAATTAAAAGTTACATTCAAAAATGACAAGAAACATATGGTGTTTCATTTAAAAAAACATAAATAAGTTTGTATTGTAACTTATTTTTGGACTACCCTATAGTATAATTAAAAATATTTTCCTGAAATGCCCTCTAGAATATAAATAAAGTCTACAAAATATCAAAATTCCCACTTAAATAATAACTGATGAGCTACAGAAGACCAGAACTGAGATGAATCGCCCCGTATGCTGTATGTCCCCGGAATGAGTTTACAAGAGGATTTTACGCCAAAACTACAAAGGAAAAACATTTTTGCTTTACCTGAAACGCGCAAATCTGTAATTAAAACTTCGTTATTCTAACTCAGTATA